AGATTGCCGGCCAACTGAGCTTCAGCCAAAGCCAAGGGGTCTGCAGGGGCTTTTAGGTTTAGGCTTCATGGTGGGCTTCTAGAGTTTTGGAGTTTTTTTGGTTCCGGGAGTGTTTCGGGTGCCTCATGTAGTATTCGGGAGCAGTGTATGATCCAGCAGGAGGTATACGATATCAGATCTGGAGGTGGTTAGTGTAGGGTTCATGGGCTGGGAGCACCGAATCTCCCAGGTGGCCCAAAGCGTTGATCCAAGGAAGCCCTAAATCCTAAACCCCAACCCCTAAACTCTAAAGCTTAAGCTCAAAGCATTGATCCGATGAAACCCTAAACCCCTAAACCCCAAGCCCCGAATCCCCTAAACCCCAAGCCCCGAATCCCCTAAAGCCAAAACCCCAAAACCCCAAAACCCCTAAACCCCCAAACCCTCAAAACCCTTAGCCCCCAAACCCTAAACCCCTAAACGTTGATCCCAGGAAGCTTCCCCAGCTTGAAGAAGCGCTCCTGGAAGCCTTCAGGCAAGTCCGGCTCGAACGGTTGGGTGTGTAAGGTGTAAGAGGGTGTTCGAGGTTTTATGGAACCGCCTATACACCTTATTTAAGGGCATAGCTTGTCGGTTTTGTTTTGGAGACGTGGGATTCGGCCAACTTTTGGGATTGGTTTTGTTTAGCACAACCATCGACCGCCGACGATCACGGCAACGACCACTGGGAACGACGACGACCGACGACTGCGACAAGCGCCACAACGGCTACTGCTGATGCTGGAACACATGCTCCCTAGGAACCAGCGCTTCACCCCACGCCCTCATATAGGGGCTTCAAATGATTACCTATACTATTTTGGGGGTTCCTTACTATAATTATAGTACTTATAGTATCATGGGCACCGAAGCCCTGTTCTAATTATTAAGGCCCCTAAGTGAAGCCCGAAACCCGTTGCTGTCAGGCGCCGTTGGTGTGAGATCGTGCGGCTGACCCCTCAATTTGGGGAGGCCATGCCTTTCAACCCATCAAAGAATCCCGTGCACAGCGCCTGGGCAGGAAGTTGGGTAACCTCTATCCCCAAACCATAAACCCTCATTCCCGAGCCCGTCATTGCCTTATAGTCTTTGTACAGGTGGGTATTTTGGTACGGACGCCACAAGATTTGCCAGTATAAACCTATGCTTCAGGGTTCCTTAATACACGGATGCCATAAAGTTAGCCCCTCAAGGGCTTTGTTTTTGGATTGTGGGGTTTCGTGTTGTCACACTTGAGGGTTTCGTGAACTTATTTGTTGTTGAAGGTTTTGCTGTTTAGGTTCAGGGATTGCGGGGATTTCAACTTTTTCAACCTATGTCTGAGAGTTAACGCATAGGTTGCTGTTGCTGCCGTGGTAGTGGTTGCTGGTGTTGTTGCCGCTGCTTTTGCTGCTGTTGTTGTGATTACAGCAATTGTCGGCGGCCAATAACATCTGGGTAGCACTGATTGAAGGACATGTCGGGACGTCTGCAGAGCGCAAGGGCGTCGATTGCGTGGTTCTTCCTGTCAGGACAAGAGAGGGACCCAAAGGCCGAGAGAAGCAAGAAAACCTACTATTTGCTTAAGAAACCCCCCACAAAATTAAAATATAATCCCTATATTACCCCCCATAAGGGATATATTTTTATTTTTTGGGGGTTCTTAAGCAAATAGTAGAAACAGAGAGCAAGTCCTTAACGAGGACCTGCACTACGTCTTAGTGGCAGGGTTTCGCTTGATGCGAGTTTCGCGATTTGAGCACTCTGCTTATTCGTTCCTACCTGTGCCGCACTTTCACTGTACCCAGAGAGCCCAATACCCCTTAGTTAAGGAAATTGACCTTAGATCATTAGGGGCTTCATTTTCGAGTTTAAGCAATATTCCTTAATTCAGGGGTATTGGGCTCTCTGGGTAACCAGTAAGTCGGCGTGTTTTCACCCCTTGGGTTTAACCCTCAGACGTCAAACCTAAACACGAAAACCTAAAAACCTAAGCCCGAAGCCCTGAGCAAAAAAGCTCCGAAACACCGATCAAAGTCCGACCCGTTTCAACCCCAAGCCAATCGTATCCCCATATATAGTCTCTGTATGAATCGAGTATAGCATACTTACTCCAAGACCAAATTCTCTTGATTTATGGCCCTTGTATCTAACTCCCAAATGCCGCAATGAGAGACACGACAGCCTCCAATCTAGCTGCCTCTCTGAGGTTTCTTTCCGCACACCCTGACCCGCATGGAAGACGATCTGAGCAAAGGCACAGGGAAGTCACGAATTTTGAAGACACGACTGCAACTGCCACTTTGACTTCCACTACCACTATCACTACCACTACCACTACCACTGCCTAAACCCTCAACCCTAAACCCTGAACCCTAAATCCTAAACCCTATCTCCGGTTTGGGGGCTCCGTGGCGCGGGTTTTCCCACGTGATTTGGTGGGCACCTTCAGGCTTCGCTGGAGCTTCTGCTCCGGCTTCGTCGGTTTGGTTAAGATAGGGTTCCTTTAAGGGTTCCTTTAAGGGATGCTATAAGGGTAGTACAAGGGATACTTTAATTAAGGGTACGGTAGCGGATTTAGGGATGTAAGGGGCTTCAATAATTACCTATACAATTTGTTTTTTTGGAGGTTCCTTAATATAAGTATAGGATAATGGGCCCCAAAACCCTATTCTAATAATTTTGGCCCCTACATTTATCGGCTGGAGGGGTTTGACCTGTGAGTTTCTGTAGTTCCGTGATCTCTCTTCCCAAGCCAGCATTCTGATACTCAGGCTCTTGCCTTACGTGGGGTTTAGGGTTTCGCGCTTAGTTGGGGGTTTTAGATTTTAGCGCTTGTTTTGACTGCGACCTTTCATTTGCGAAACTTGCCTTCCGCCTCGGCCCTCTGACCTTTTATAGTAACCCTTAGGCTCCCAACTCTAAGCTCAATATCCTGAAAGCCCTTGGCCCCCATGCCTCGAGCGGCGGAAGCGATAAAGCTTGCCGAGTGAACCGTCTAAAGCCGTAAGCCCTTAAACCCAGAACTCTGAAACCGAAACCCTAAACCTTAAATCCCCTAAACCCTAACCCCTAAAAACCCCTAACCCCTAAACCCCTAAACCCCTAAACCCCTAACCCCTAAACCCCTAACCCCTAAACCCCTAAACCCTAACCCCTAAACCTTAAACCCCCACCCCCTAGACCCTGAACCCCTAAACCCTAACCCGTGATCTGCCAGCTTGAAACCAAGCCTCAGAGAACAAGAAGTGCCCTTTTGAACCCTAAACCCTAAACTCTAAGCCCAAAGGGCAGAGCCCTAAACTCTTGAACCCTCAATCCTGGTTCCAAAGCCCCGAAAAGGCTCTCGAGAGGCCGAGGCTTGCATGCGGACTCTTGGTGTTTGAAGGTATGTTTTAGATGTAGTTTTAACAGGTTTGTGCGGTCTTAGAGGGTTCTCACGGTAGCAGTTCACGAGGATTCCGTGGTTGCTGCAGGGTTTCCAAGGGTTCTATGGGGTTTGACAAGGCTTCCAACTGCTCGCTTTGGCGGTTTAGAGCTCAGAGTGTACGTGGGGTTCAGCTCAACTTTTGAAAACTGTTAGACTAGTGAGTTTGGCGACATCATTTGGGGTCCAGCGTTTAGGGTTTAGGGTTTGGGGTCCAGGGTCCGTGTAAGGATTGAGCTTAAGGTGCCTTCATTCCTGAAGCTATGTGCCGAGGAAGTGGTCCCACAATTTCACCTTCGGCTTCATGGACACATCTCATGTGATCGACGCTCCTGTAGCAAAGAAAGCTCGCTTGTAGGCTCTTTGTCCTTTGTGCCTGGAGGAATACCAAGCCTTGATGGTAGTATTGCCACCCTCAAGAATCTGCTATGCTTTCCGTAAGATCTTCTGAGACTTGGAAGCTTTTCCATAGACAGAGTTCGGAGTGAAATGTCAGAGAGGCATCTCATTGTCTGTCAACGTGACCACCTACCGCTAACAAGTTAGTAACACTTTGGCGGATCCCTGTATTTCCTCCAGCGCTTGGTGCTGAAATTTGTGTTGCGGGGACACAGACAGATGAGTGGGCGGGGCCCTGCTCCAAAATGAATCGCGATGCCTCTGCCGGCAAAGGGTGTCTCTCAGAGGTTTAGTGCTCAGATTCGTTTACGGTTTGGTTTATGGCCGGCTGTGGACATTCAGAAACCCTCGACAGCCGGAGTGAGCCTCATGCAGCCCGACGGGTGTTTGTTAGACCTGCATTTAAGACTGTGCAACTGGTTTTTGTGTGGACACGGCATAAGCGGATAAGTAAGAAGCAATTGCGGGCATATCATGTGTATGCATGTCTCCCTCTCCCTCTCTTTCGCTCTCGTGCTCTGTCTCTCTATTATACAGATAAATACAGATGTAAATACTATCTGAACAGTACACACAGCAGTTAACACGAAAACCCTACTCGAATACACACGTAAGTGTGAATTTGAGTATTAGCATGGAAGCCCAGCTGAATATGTAAACAAGTTTGACACACAAACAGATATGCCAAATTTTACATATGCTTGTATGTACATGTACATGAAGGTAAAGTATGTTACATGTCGTTCGTGCGTGCATATAAGCACATGTATGTACATACATATATGTAGATACAACACATAAGTATATGAGTTCCTGCAGCCCGAAGCCGTCCGAAACCTCATCCGTAAATCCAGTGTCACGAGCCTCGACCCGACAACCCGAGAATGTCAGCTCAATCGAAGGGTTCCGGGTTTCAGGGTTTAGTGTTTCGGGTCCCTCTCAATCCTAGAACCCTTGCAGCCGTAGCGACTGCAGTTGGAAGACAGACCTCAAGGCCCTCTGAGACCTTTCCAGAACCCCAGTAGAGAGTTGTAGATGTTGGCCCGTATAGAACCCAGGTAGAACTTGCTTAGAATGCGTAAACAACCCCTAGAGAATCCTCCGTTCCTGAAGCCCCCTTGAAACCCTAAACCCTAAACCCTAAACCTTAAACCCTAAACCGTGCCCCCTTGCGCAGAAACTTTTCTACTTCCTCGGTCCCAACCCGGCACTGCTCTCCGTGTGCCCGGCCACGGCGCAGGACGAGTCCCAGGCTTCGGGCAGAATTTTTGGTGTTTAGGGTTCAGGGTTTATGGGATTTAAGGTTTAGGGTTTAATCTAGGGTTTAGGGTTTAATCTAGGGTTTAGGGTTTAGGGTTAAATCTAGGGTTTAGGGTTTAGGCTTAATCTAGGGTTTAGGGTTTAGGGTTAATCTAGGGTTTAGGGTTTAATCTAGGGTTTAGGGCTTAGGGGATTTGCGGTCTCCTTGGCATGGGTTGTAACAGTGGTGACACAATAGTAACAGTCGTCGTTGTAGTAGTAGTGGTGGTGGTAGTAGTAGCAGTAGCAGCAGTGGTAGCAATAGTCATCATTATTACTAGTAGTAGTAACAGTCGTCGTTGTAGTAGTAGTAGTAGTAGTAGTAGTAGTAGTAGTAGTAGTAGTAGTAGTAGTAGTAGTAGTAGTAGTAGTAGTAGTAGTAGTATTAGCAGTAGAACAGGGTATGGTATAGTATGGTTGTTTGGGGAATGGAGGGATGCTCTTACTTGCGGCTCACTTCAGCTCTGAAAAACCTTCACTGGCATGGCTTTCTTTGCCATCTTGTTGTATAAGCTCAGCCATAACCCCAGAGAGCCCAATACCACTAAATTGTGGAGAATACCTTCAATTATAGGGGCTTCATATTCTGTTTTATGTTCCATAGTTAAGGAGTATTGGGCTGACAGGGACAGTGCGACTGATATGTCGCTACAGCAAGCCCGCAGGATTTGCAGGACCAACCACAAACCCCAAACCCTGAACCATCCTGAATCCCGAAGCCCTAAGCCTTCGTCTCCTTACCCTAAGGCTCCATGTACCCTTATAGTATAAACTTAGGCCTTAAAGTACCTATATAGGGACTACTTTGGGGCTTATCTACCATAACGGTACATGGAGCCTTTGGGTTAGGAACTATTTGTAGTTCATATAGAAGCCAAGAGAATGAATTCGGCATATTTGTTTATTGTGGCTCTAAGGGGCTGGCGTAAGCCCGGAGACCCCCCAGAACCCCAAATCCCTAAACCCTACACCCAAAAAAAGCCTAAACCCTAAACCCTAAACCCTAAACCCTAAACCCTAAACCCTAAACCCTAAACCAATCCCCAAACCCCAAGGCCCCTGCACCATCGGACCCCCCTGCGCAGCCCAAGACCCCCTGAAACTTGAGACGGAAGCCCAGGTTCCGAACTCTTAAACCCTCAACCCTGAACCCTATACCCCAATATAGCGCAAGCACAGAAGCCACTAAAAGCCTGGTAAACCCTAGACCCTAAACCCTAACCTCTTCAAACGCTTTCAGGACCCTAAACCCTAAACCCGTGAGATTTTCGACGACAGGCACTTTGAAAAGAGGCGCCTTAAAAAAATAAACCACACCCCTAAACCCTAACCCAACCTCCAGGTTTTCCGGACGGTCCTGCAACCCGGAGCCATGGTCGTCATCCGAGCCGAGGCATTTCTGAGTGCTAGACTTGTATTATCGGGGCACTACTAATTACCTATTCCTTTTAAAGGGGTCTATACTGATTACTATAAAGGGATATAATATAGGGGCCTTAATCATTACATATACTATTTTGGGGGCTCCTTATTGTGGCTATAGTAAAATATACCCCCAAACCCTATTCTAACTCTGAAAGCCCCTATGGTAGGTATGGGCTCTTCAGGGGAGAGAGGGGCGCCTAAACCCTACCGTGATCTCTGAACACTGGACACCAAATCCTGAACCGCCAACCCTGAGCCCTAAGCCCTAAACGTAAGGATTTCGGGCTTAGGGTTCAGGGCTTTGAGTGTAGGGCTGAGAGTGTACTCAGAGATCCTCCTGCAGGGGTCTGAGGGGCTCAGGGTTTTAGGAGTTTAGTTAGTGTTAGGGGTTCTAGTGGGTTAAGGGTTTGATAGTTTAGGGTTTACGTAGGATTTCGGGGTTCAGGCTTTAGGGTTTCAGCGTGTAGCCCTAATCTGCGTTATAAGTATAGCCACCCTGCTTATGAACCTTCTCATACCTACCCAAAACTCTAAGCCCTATAGAACCCTTAAGGGTACGCTAAACCCTTGTAGCCCTACTTACAACCACCCGAAACTCCAAGTACGGGGGACTTTGAGCAATGGCCGCAAGAACGAAAAGAAGAGTTAAGCCTAGCATCCCTAAGCCCTCATAGGGAGGGGACTTTAGAAGCCTAAGCAGAACAGGTTTTAAGGGTTCCTTGTTGTAAGCATATATTAACGTACGCAGAAGCTCCTTTCAAACAATCATGCCCCTATATTTGACAGTCATATTGATAAGCAAGGATCCTAAACACTGTAGGACCTGTGGTGGGTGTATTCTGAGGTACACATGGCAGTTTAAGTTTACGGGTTTGCGCTTAGTGTTCACGGCCCAAGGTTGGAGTGTAGTCAGGGTTTCATTGCTTTTGCCATAAGGATGGTCTTTGAAGTGGCATTGGGTGCGTTCACGGCTGTTTTGCATATGGAGCCTCATTCTGTGATGAAGTACCTCACAAGCCTGAATCAAGCCACACATGCTAAACCCAGAATCTTAAGCCCCATGCCTTAATTGTGATCTTTCAACTCCCTGATCTCTAGCCACTCTTGCCCCAAGTCCCTACTGGATGTGTCGCGAGGCATGCAGCTGCGGGCTCTTTCCCTCGCCTTCGGAGCCCTGCACTGTGGTCGAGGTGCTGCACGTCGGGGTTTAAGTCTTTGCAGTTTAGGGTTTAGGGTACCCAAGCGCCCAAACGCACAACTCTATACCAAAGCACCGCAGGTGGACTTCCTCGCCGAGCAGAAGCACAGCAAGGTGGATGCACCGAGAGTTGATCTGCCAACCGGCTAAGCCTTCAGAGAGGCGAGAAATACTCGCAGGGCCTATAAGGGTCTAATTATTCGAGGCAGCTTGGCATAGACATGTGCGCTGCTCTCGTACTAGGTGCGCTCCCTTCTCATAAGCCTTAAACCCTAAATCCCCACACCCCTGAACCCATCAACCCTAAGCCCAAACCTCCTAAACCCCTAAACCTCTAAACCCCTAAACCCTGAAGCCCTAAACCCAAAATCCTTTGCCAGGAGTCCGCTGGCGATCGCATGGTCCCACCACAGGACCTGTGTGTGCTAGGTGGCGGGGTCAGATCTGTCTCGAAACATTGCTATTGCTATTCTTACTACGGTTGGCCCACAAGCATTTCCATGATGACTTCTTCTACCGGCAGTATATCCCTAAACCCCTTAACCCCAAATACGAGCCCCAAGCCGTGAACCTTTTACCCTAAACATCGCCCCAAGACTCTTGCAGACCTCTTAGACCTTAGCCTAGCGCCCTTGATGGTACATGTAGGGTGTCTAGTAGGTATCTGACGATCCCGTTTAAGTTTAGGGGACTGGGGGCGACGAGGAGCTGCAAGAGTGGCTGCTGGATCGCCTTAAAGCCATCGTGGACAACGATGTGCAGGTCCTGGTTCCGTTCTTGTCTTGGACGATGGGGAGGGTGGTTTTGGAGGGTTTTGGAGTTGGGTTCAAGGTTTAGGGTTGAGGGGGTGTTGAGGGGGTGTTGGGGGGTTTAGGGGTTCCGTTTAGAAGCTCAGTTTCTGTGAGCGTTTCGGACTGATGGTTGTTATGTCTTTAGGGTTTAGTGTTTAGCCGCTGGCGTTTCTTGAGGGTTGAGGCTTGTTGGGGTTAGGGGCTGGGATGACGTCATTGGTCAATGGTTCAGGGTTACCTTAACCTCTAGATGTCCTGAATTCCAGACCGTTTCTGCGGGTGCCTCTGCACTAAAGTGTGCTCCGCAAAGGTTGTTGCCAGATATCAATTCCAAACTCGGCGAAGGGAACGAAATTTCTGGTTAAGGACCGTACTTGGAGGTTCATGGGTAGTTACAAGTAGGGTTATAAGTCCCCTAATATGAGTTATAAGTATAGTTACCCTACTAAAAACTCACTTGTATCACGCATGAACCTCCAAGTAGGGTCTAGGATTGTCAGAGTTTTGTGGTTGTCTCGGATGCAGTGTCACTCTCACTCTTCACGTTTGCTCCCGTAAACCGCTGGCAAAATCTGCGGTTGTGTTTGAGATTTCTCCTAAACCGAAATTCCCCTCCCCTCCACTGCAGTCCCATTCCCCCGTGGATGCCCAGCGGAGAAAACTTGTTTGCTGGCAAGGCGGATGTGCCAGAGGAGTGGATCAAGCTCGCTCGGCAGACCTTTGTGAGGACAGTCGCACAAGGTACATGAGGCTTTGCGGAGTACTTCTTCTGAGTTCTTGTTTAGGGATTGAGTTTAAGTCACCATAGTGAGAAAGCCATATTATTTACTATCGATCCCTGTTATGGCAACTTAAATCAAACTGCGTAAGACGAAGCCACTCATGAGGGGGTTCAAGGGCGTTCTGGGGCTGAAAGGGCGCTTGTGGGCCAGGGTGTTAGGCGTCGAGGCCTTGTATGGGGTGCCCTGAACCATCACGTAACCTCAAACAGCGCCCGTTTCAAGCATCATCTTGCAACATACTATTTGTTAGCGTTCCTTGCCTAACTACATTGTAAAACACATCCTGGGTGGATGGATGGTTCGATGGATGGATGGAAGGATGGACGGAAGGACGGACGGATGGAAGGATGGATCGATGAATGGACGTATAGATGAATGGAAGCATGGAGGGATGGACGGATGAAGGGATGGATGGATGGGTGGACGGAGGGGCGCACATTGGCGGGTGTTTATTGATGCATGGTTGGCTGGATGAGTGCTTATGTTGTGTGTTCGAATGTATTTCATTGTTTTTTCTTTGCTTTTAAGGCCGTTGGAGAAAGATTAGTCGGTTCTTCGTTGGTCCAACGAGTCAGCTTTGTTTGTTAGTTGCGGCTCTACGTGCTTTTGGGCACTCGGTCTCGGCCTGTGCTAACCATTTTCTGGCTTCGCTGGGGGAGACTTCCTATGTAAACCCGAAGCCCCTTATGAACCGTATAAACCTGTGAAAAACGCTAAAGCTTTAAGCCTAAGTTTTTGGCTGGTGTTTTCAAGCCCAAAGCCCTAAACCCTAAACCTTCTGAATGCGTGGCAGACGGAAACGAGCGCCTGAAACACACAAAACCCTAAACCCGAAACCCCTAAACCCTAAACCGCTACACTTTAACCCTAAACCCTTAAACCCTAAGCACTTAAGCCCTAAGCCCTAAATCCGCAGAGCTCTAAACTGAGAAGACCGAGACCACTTGGAGGCTCATCGGGAGTTATAAGTAGAGTAACTATAATTCTAACCCATATTAGGGGACCTATAGCCCTACTTAAAACTACCCTAAACCTTAACACCCTAAACCCCAAATCCCTATAGACCCCTTTAAAGGAACCCTTAAAGGAACCCTTAACGGACCCGTATAACCCTACTTATAGCTACCCATGAACCTCCAAGCAGAGCAGGAGCCGACCGGCGAAGATCTTAGAGGCCGCACTGGTGGGTTTCAAGGTTTCAAACGGGAAAAGGAGGGACCCTTAATGGGGACCCCTACCCTATAATGGGCTATATAATGGGTTTCAAGCCCAGAGACTCCAATATCCCTTAAAAAAGCAATATTCCTTAAATCATGTTAGTGATCCTACTGTAGTTTAAGGTATATTCCTTAATTAACGGGTATTGGAGTCTCTGGGAGGTTTCGGTTTAGGGTTTAGGGTTTGAGGTTTCGGTTTAAAGTTTAGAGTTGAGGGTTTAGGGTTTAAGGTTTCGGTTTAAAGTTTAGAGTTGAGGGTTTAGGGTTTAAGGTTTCGGTTTAAAGCTTAGGGTTGAGGGTTTAGGGTTTAAGGTTTCGGTTTAAAGTTTAGGGTTGAGGGTTTAGGGTTTAAGGTTTCGGTTAAGGGGTTCGGATTTGGGGATAAGGGCTTAATTGCCGTTTAGAGTTTAGGGTCTCGGATTTAGGGTTTGGGGTTCAAGGTTTCGGATTAGAGTTTAGAGTTTAGGGTTTCGGATTCAGGGTTTAGGGTTTAGGGTTCAAGGTTTCGGTTTGGAGTTTGGAATTTAGCGCTCTACAAGTGCTACTAAGAGGGTTCAGGGTTTAGAGTTACAGCAATTATAAGGGCTACAAATAGGGCTCCATAGGGGTTCTACAGAGGTTTCAAGGTTTCGGTGGTTCAGAATCTAGAGTTTTGGGGTTTGGGGGTTTGGGGTCTGTATGATTGAGAGAGGGTTAGAGTTAGACCTAAAGCAATCTATTGCGTGGCTTGTAGGTTTCTGCAAATCCTAAAGTTGCCTGCTGGAGACCTACAATTTCGCCTATGGCAGCCGCACTAGGGTTTCGGGTTTAGGGTTTGGGGTTTAGGGTTCGGGGTTTAGATTTGGCGGAAGAGGTGGAAAGAGGTTTTCCTTTTTGAGGTTCTAGTTGTGTCAGCATGCCAGGGCCAGCACCTTTTGAAACTTAAATCGGACAGTGACTTTGCCATACAGTGCCATACAGTGGTCGTTGACAGCCAGCTGTAAAAAAATCAACAATAAGATGGATTCAGGCTTGTCGGTGCAAGTGCAGGGAGTTTCTGAGTTTTTTGCTTAAATGGAAGGATGCGCAGACGTCTTGCGAATAGGAGCGAACAGGAACACCGACTTAGCACACTGCTGAAACCTACCGCGACCGGTACAATCGGAAAGCTCCTAAAGTTCAAGGCAGCCTAGAAGTTTGGGATCAAGAGGCCGCAGTACAAACCGTGACGGAACACTAGAAACCTTCGCGCCTTCCAGACAGAACGCTAAATACGGCACCACTAGTTTCGAGAAACCCCTCGCTCTGCAGATGTTCTGGGCCTCTTTTTTGGCCTGGGCTGGTTTTGATTCAGGGTGCCGAAAATCACAAAGCCACGAAGCATTCAAGGCTTCAGTTTTAGGGCTTAAGGAAAGCCATAACGATTCAGGGTTATCAGGAACTTGGGCGGGAAGGGTTTCGCTAGCTTTTCCTGCCTAGTTGCATGTTCATACGAATTCCGCAACATTCGGGCCTTGGGAAGCTATTGGAACAACTGGCACGTGGACGTGACTGGTTCAAACGCAGAAGAGACGGGGCCAAACACATCTGGCTACCTCTGTCGTATTACAGGTAAGCAACGACGTCATAACGGTGGGCAAGCATTATTTCAGTTTAACACGTGTTACGTCTAATAGAGGAGCTCATGTCCGAAGCACGTCCCACAATGTAGTCGCATCATCACAAGTTTTGGGCAGACTCTACAGGGTAGATATGGACCAGTTGTGAACACAAATCCATGCTCGTTTTCGATGTCATAAGATGTCCGTCAACATGAGCAAAAGACCAAAGCACCATTGCTGTATGCGGAGAGAATGAGAACAGCACGTTGGAAGTGTCCGAATGCTTGTTATTCAAAGTTTTACAGTGGAATCACAGCAGGTCCGATGCGTTGCTGTTTTGTCTTTTGTCAGAGCCGTGGTAGACATCTGCGTGGAGACATCGCGCATTTAGACCATAGCCAGATGCTTCATGTTGAAATAGTTGTGGCAATCTTTCATTTGTTTAAGCCCTTGCTGTAAGCACAGCCAGCATCATCCGTGCAGTGCTTAGACGTTGTCGTGCTTGTTCGAAACGCAGGGCGTAATTACTTCGCGATCGGGCTTTTCACCTGCGAGCCGTAGCTTAGGGACAATCAAGAAACAACAGTATGCTTTTGGGTCCGTATTGATTGTGGCTCCTTGATGTTCTAAGTCTTCCACATACCCGTGTCATAGGCCTTTGTAGCACTGGTGCAGCCCCTTGACAGCCTTGACAACCTCCCGTGTGATTCTGTGCGAGCGCCACCGGCAGTGCGAAGCCAAAGTCCGTGTTTTGCAGTTTCCTCAATCTCCAACTCTGGTGCACGCCCATTTACAGGCAGTTCCAAACCTTAATGTGTTCGTTAGATTATAAATTGTCTGATAACTTACCACCAAAATCGACAGCAAGTCAAAGAACAAACGATGTCCAAACCCGGCATGATCAAGGCCAGGGTGGCGGCTCCGTTTCCGTTAGGGTGCACCGTTGCACCCTCCCGCCCAGCACCCTGAACTCTTAGCATTTGAAAAACTTGTCAACTACTTCCAGAATCGATGCGAAGACAGGTCTCCCATCGGCTGCCAGGACAGCATTGCGTCTGGGAAGAAGTTGCCCGGACCCCACGGATTTTGAGCAGCGGATAGGGGTGAAAGGGAGGGGAGGGGGGTGTTTGTCTGCTTGATTTAAGGGTTCCTTGTTTAGGATCGCCTCATGAATCTTCAGCGGGTTCGCGTGCACCCTGAAGTCCACGAATTTCAAGCACGATGTGAGGGACGGAGCTTCGGACGTTGATTCGTTCCGGGATCTCGCCTCCGCGTCGTTTTGACAAATCGGGCTGAATACACCTTAGCGTCAAACACATTCCTGAGTTGGCCGACTGAGAAAGAGGGCTTTTACTTCTCCGGGTGGTGTGTAAACATAAACCTTAAAGCCCTACATGCAACCTAGGTTTCGGGGTCTGCGGGGGTTGCCTCTGGATGTGTAGTTACGGCTAAACGTCGCCATGATTGGTAAGAGTCGCCATGTGTTGCTGCAATGTATGTATGCCCAGAGCCCTGAACCCCAAAGTCGGCATTGTGAGGCCCTTGGCGGCTATGATTGCATCACGGAAATCCCGCCGTCAAAATGGGAAGTGGACGCGCGCGGTCCCCAGCTGCGAGGACGATGTTGTCGTTGTCGCTGTTGTCGTTGTTATGGTTTCGTTATCGTGGGTCGTGGTGGTTATGATTCTGATTTTGATTCTGTCTGTTCGGGTTGTTGTGGTTGTTGTGGTTGCTGGGGTTGCTGGGGTTGTTGGTTCTTGGTTGTTGGTTGTTTGTTATTTGTTTTAGTTTTTTGTTGTTTGTTGTTGCTGCTGTTGCTCCTGCTCCTCCAGCTGCTGTTGCTGTTGTTCTTCCTTTCTTTCTTCTTCATCTTGTTCTCGTTGCTGGTGGTGGTTGTGGTGGTTAGGGTGGTATTGTAGTGGTCTGACTGCTATAGGTTTCTGTTCTGTTTCTTCCACTGTCTCAGATGAACCGCAATCAGACACTCGCTAAGCGAGTGCAGGGGTGTTCGTCCTGCTGCAGTGTGCAAGCGACAGGAGCCTCAGACAGGACAGTAGTTATATATTATATGTTACATATGTCATATTTGAAACTATAGACTATAGGTTCTATATTTATATTACCTTATATAGTATTAATCGTTTCACACGTTGGTAGCCGTATTGTGCCGGAAGCGTGTCTGCTGCAGGGACCTTTTTGAAGCTCAAGCAGGGCTCACTCCTCATTTTCCTTGGTGAGATGACATGCTTAGAGGAGGAGCAGGGGCAGTCCGATGACTTGAACTCCAAGGACGGCGTTTGCCCCAACGAGGGCCGCAGCGACGAGAAAGCTCCGACCGAGGAGAACAAGATCAAAGCCGCAGAGGCGGATGAGATCAAGAGTTTCAAGTGCAAAGAGAAGGAGCGATGTGGTGCCCTCCCTTTCTAAGACAGGTTATATATATATATATATGTATATGTATATGTATAAATGTAAATCGAAGCAAATACACAAATACTACATATATACACACATACATACATAAATATATATATATATATATATATATGTATACAGACATATATATATATATATCTATATATCTATATACCTATATATCTATATATCTATATATCTATATATCTATATATCTATATATCTATATATCTATATATCTATATATCTATATATCTATATATATCTATATATACCTATATACAAATATATATATATATACCGTTCTGCCAGAAGTATACAGGCTTCCCTTGTCTACAAATGCGTAGCTGTAGCTCACATGCTATGACCATCCTTGTTCGACTGGTCTCCGTCCGCACCTTTATATGTATGTACGCATGTATATATATATATATATATATGTACATGTATGTACATGTATGTACATGTATGTACATACATGTACATATATGTACATATATGTACATATATGTACATATATGTATATACTGCCCATATTGCTACAGGAGCAGAGGGACGACGAAGCCAGCACCGTGGAGAGTGAGCGCGTCTATGAGGCCAGAACCCGTCAATCCACAACCGCGACGAGATCATAAATCCGAAATCTTGGACATTGTGCTGCTACTTTTTATGTGCACATAAAAAGTAGCAGCACAATATCCGAAATCTTGTTGAATCCGAAGTGTGACGGCTCCCAAACGTCGAAGGAGATCCGATTTTTTGGGGAACGCGGAGCTGACCAGAGCTGAAGCCCAAAGTCTTAAGCCTTAAGCCTCAATCTGGGAACCTTAACCCCGGGAATTCGAACAGCACATTCACTCTCTCTCTCTCACTCTCACTCTCACTCTCTCACTCTCTCGCTCTCTCTCTCTCTCTCTCTCTCTCTCTCTCTCTCTCTCCCTCCCTCTCTCTGTCTCACACACACTCACACTCACACTCACACTCACATTCACACACTCACACTCACACTCACACTCACACTCACACTCACACTCACACATCTGCATACCTAGCTAGCTAGCTAGCTACCTACCTACCTACCTACCTACACACACACATGCATGCATGCACATGCACACGCATCGACCTTTCCATGACCTAGTGACTTAGTGAGGAGTAGAAAGATGGAATTTCGGGGTTCTTTGGGGGGAGGGGTCGAGCGACGTAATAGGGGAAATGAGCATTCAACAAAGGAGACCCCCGCCGCTAGAAGTTTCCTAAGACCTGCAAGCCCACCGAAGCCCTTTCGACCCGAAACCCCAAACCCCAGACACCCCTAAACCCTATGCCATAAATCCAGGAGGTTACCGAAACCTTTCTAAAACCCTCCCTTAATTCCTAAATTCCCACCGGCCCAGGCGGGCCGAACCCACCCATAACTGGGTGACACTGAAGATGCCCGGCAGCCTTTACCCTACACGGGCCAAACAGAGCCTTTGCAGAATGGTCGAATACAGCCCAATCTGGGCTGTCAAGGGCTCCCCCTCAGCGCCGGCGCCGGCCACACTTCCACCCCCTTGGCTCCGTGTGCCTGCTCTGCTGCCCTGCTGCCCTGCCCTATGTCCTGCGCAGCCCCTGCCCTGCTCGTTGAGGGTAAGCCCTATAAACCCCGACAGGAAATGGTTTGGGTGGTTGCCTGTGGCATCATTACAGCGGGCGGGTTTAAGAGAACTTCCAGTTTCAAGCGTCATATGCCGCCACCCGCAAACCCTGGTGTGAGGTGGCGCCATCCTAGCATGGATTACCAGCCACTGCGCAAGAAGACTCCCTAAACCTACACCCTAAACCTCAACCCTAAACCCCAAACCACAGGAGGTTACCGAAACCTCCCTGTGGCTCGACGTGAAGCCCGGTCTCGACAAGACGGATCCGACCAAAGCCTCCGCCTTCTGGCGGAAGCAGAAGCTTGGGGACTCGGGGCTCAGGGTTGAGGGTTTCCTAAACCCCTTTTAGGGTTATTTCAGGGTTAATTAGGGGTTTTGGGGTTTACATCAGAGTTTGGGGCTTGGGGTTTAGGGCCTAGGGTTTAGGGTTTATTTTTAGTTTTAGGGTTTGGATTTCTAGGAGGCTTGATAAACGAATCACCACATTCTCTAGGGCTCCTTATTTGCACTCTTGTTATTATGCATCGCTTTCTTTAGGGTTCCTTTTCTGCGCATATTGCTGTTCAAGGCCCCTACATGTACCGTCTTCAAGACATGTCAGCCCACCCGAAGCACTAAAAGCTGCCATCCCTTAAGCCCTTATTTTAGGGTTTAGGCTTTGGGGTTAAGGGCTTTTAGCCCTAAACCTGTGCTGACGAGCCCTGATATGTATTGGATCTGAGCCTGGGAAGCTAGAACTACGAGGAAACATCTGGAAAATGTTCGTGGCGGCGGCGCTATAAGCAACGCAAATTTAGCGCCAGGGAGTATGCTGAGTATGATATAGTGGTCAGAAGTTGACAAGTGCCATCGAAACCCCGAACCCTGCAGCTAGGAACGAGTATGGTAGATTCAGGAGAGGAGAGTATCCTTTTCTTTTCTGAAAGCAGGGATGCCATACGTAGGGTTGGCATAAGGATCCTTCCATTTCGGGGTTCCACATAAGAGTCCTTCGTTCTCTGGCACTCCCAGTAATGCCATCTTTCAGTGACCCGAGGTTCTGGAGCAGGTCAGCGCACTCGGAGATGTGACCCGGCCCAAACCCGTTACCCAAGAAGGCTTGGCGGTCTTAGGGTTTTAAGGTTTAGGGTTTCGAGTTTAGGGTTTAGGGACACCTGAAGCCAAGTGAATCTAGACTAGATGTTAAGGGTTCAGGTTTTAAGGATCCCAAACCGGAAAACCGAAAATCCTTCGACTCGAAACCCCAAGCCCGCCCTAAGCCATTCCCGAGACTTCACTATCTTACTCTAGTTGTAGCATACACCCCACCCGTAAGCTCTGTTTCAATTAGTTGATCGTACAGGTTCTGAATTTTTTGGGAGTGGGGGCCGTTGAGTTTTCGGGGTATGGTTTGATTCGGAGGGGGCTTGCATTGGGCCGTCCAGCGGGATTTAAGAATTTCTCGACAGCGAACCCGTCAACCGACAATCTTGGATCTGGGGTTTAGGTTTTGAAGGTAGCAGCAAGTGGCAAAACACTATGCCCCAACCCTGCAGCAGAAAAGAGCGGAAAAAAAGATTGCAATAATACGTACAGCGTCAGAAATAATTACCAACACTAGTATGGGCCCGTTTTCTAATCTAGTATAGTATAATGCCCTATTCTACTGATCCTGGCCCCTATTTTACACTTCTTCTATCTTCCGACTTGCCGGCCGCTAGGGTGGGCGAGTAGGAAGTTAGCCACATGCCCAAACCTTAGCGGTACTTTCAAATAATTTTTGATCCTGCATTACTATTATCCCTAAGAAACAGCCATAATTGAAATTTTTTCTAGGGGTCTAAGTTCAGTATAGAAACCCAAGCTCGAGGATATCTTCGGGGATGACCCTTTGGTGGGCTGCTCCAAGCGTGGCGGCTGGCGAATGCACCTGGCAGTTGGCCAGGCCGAATGTTGACTGCAGGGCTTCTTGGGGGATGTAGGGGTTTAGGGTTTAGGGGTAAAGGTTTCTGAGTTTATAGCATTTTATATGATTGTTTGTGGTTTTGCCAGGGTGTTAGGCCTGCCAGCTTTTCTTTATCGCTTGCCTGAGCTGCCGCTGACCCTGCCAGCCCCGGCCTGTGGTAGTTCTGTCGCCACCACACTGCAATGGGAGTTTCAGAAAATTGAGGAAGCCCCCTTTTAAACAACTGCCAGGATCCTTAGCATAATCATAAGGAGGGCCTGTTTTGACAAATGCCAGGATGCTTAGCACGATCATAAAGGCCAAGAAGCCCCCATGCTGGTCTCAGAGTTTAGGTTTACATTAGAAGCTGCCCCCACCCTGTAATAGTGACTATAAGGATTATAGTAGGGCCCTATTATATTCCTATTATATCACTATTACAGGGTGGGGGCAGCTTCTAAGGTTTACACGAGCCTCCCAAGCTGCCGAAGATCAGGTGGCAGAAAAGACCACGCTGTTGGGCTTCATTGTATGGCGTATCAAGCCGGAGTGCCTGATCTATAGAGGGTGTAAGGTTTTGGATTAATCCTAAACCCTGTGCTGTCCGCAAGCCTCAACCCAAACCTCAGAGTTCAGTCGTTGGGCTTTGGAGTCTCTGTACGGTTTGGCACTATCTTCCGAGGATGGGTTTACCAGTTGAAGGGGTCTTGGCGCCGATGGCGCGGGAGAGGGGGGCCATAGCATGTATCTGGCCAGACTTCGTGTGCTGTGCTGGGTTGATATGTGACAAGCCAGCTCTTGCCTTGTTGCGGTTCTTGTCGTACAAGGACATCCCTAAACCCTCAACCCGAAACCTTAAACCCTAAGCCTGAACCCTAAACCTTCAACCCGAAACCTAAACCCTAACTCTTACACCCTAAACCCTCTACCCCTCACCCTAAAGGACCTGAGAAAGAGGGCCCTGGTACTCACCTAAATCTTAAACCCTAAACCCTCCACCCCTAGAAGGGGCCCCCACCCTGTAATAGTGGTATAATAGGAATAATATAATCCTTATAGTCGCTATTACAGGGTGGGGGCAGCTTCTAACCTCTACCCCTAACCCTAAACCAGAATCACTGCAGACGTTGGGACCGAACGGCCGAGGCGTAACATGCTCATCGTGTCTCAGCTTGCTGTTCCTCTGCCCTGGCTGTAAGATTTTCGCCTTTCTTTAGTGCTTATAGGGTTTAGGGCTTAGGGCGTTTTCAAAGTGTTCGGAGCTTTTTAGTCGGCACCAAGTTCTAAGAGCCAAGTTAGACAGGACGAAGACTTGAGTTTCCCCAGCCATAGAAGAGCAGTAAGATGCTTCAAGCCTTGCGAAGTGAGCAGCGATTTTGAGATTATCCTTCTGGTCTTACCTTCCTTCTATCCAACGTCCTCAACCCTCAACCCCAAAATCCCAAAACCCATAAACCCTAAACCCCTAAGCCCTAAACACTAAACCCTAAACCCTAAGGTTCCCGAGCAGTTTCGGCGACATGGCTTCGGGAAGATGCTAGTGGAGTTGCTCATCGCAGAAGCGAAGCGCCTGCCCCAAGCCTCTTGGTTTAAAGTTCAACGATCGTAGGGCTTAGGATATAGGGTTTAGGGTGTAGGGTGTGGGGTTTAGGGCTTAGGATATGGGATTGAGCGGCGGGTCTTTGCTGCTCGGGGGCGCATGAACTGCTTAGCAAGGTGAGTTTGTAACCGGTTCAGCTGTCCTGCCACGCTCATGAACATCAAGCGCGTACTATTGCGTGCATTCTCAGCCTGACAACCCAGGACCCTAAGCACTGAACTTCTAATCCTTCTGTTCCTGCCACGTGAGCGCCTCCCATTAGTTTTGTAGGTAGACATGCAACTGCTCAGCCTGTCTTCACAGGTAGGAAAGCGTCGGAGAACTCCATCGTGCCCCACTATGTAGCGCCCTTTTTTGCGTTTCTGTGTTGCGGCCGGGGCTGAGCAATGGGACAAAGGAATCCCAAGACCCTGCACACCGCACCGACCATACACCACTTGCAGCACGTAGGGCTTTAGGCCTTAGAGTGCACTTATACCAACCAAAAGTGGACCAAGGCCTAAAGCCCCAAACTCTCGCCTCAACCCTAATCCCTGAACCCTGAGAAGCCTCTCCGGAACATTGACAAGCCGCCCTCTCCAGAACCTGTAAAGGAATCCTTCGAGGAAGCCTAGCAAACCCTTAGAGAAACCCTCAAATCAAAGGTGTACACAACCCCCACAAGTGAGGTGTACACGGTCAGCCTCTCCTCACTGCCTGGGTCGGTGAAGTTCTACAAACGTCTCGGCTTCAAGCAGGCGAGGGTTGTTGTATGAGTAAGAGTCCGTTTTGGGGTTTATAAGGGTTGAGGGCAGGCGTTTATGGTTTGGGGTAGAAGGTTTAGGTTGTCGGGTCGGGTTTGGAGGAGGGGTTGAATCACGTCCCAGACACTGGGATCTTACTAGACTGAGAGGCCTTACCCCTACAACACCCTGCACCTAAGCACCCGCAAATCCCCTAAACCCTAAACCAGTTTCTGAATTCTACAGCCGAAACCCAAAGCCCTAAGTCGTAAGCCCCGAAACCCTAAGACGCCAAAAGCCTAAACCCCAACCCCAAGTCCTGGGCCCTTGACGCCCTGCTTAGAGGATCATGGGACTTAGTAAGTAGGTTATAATTGGGGTTATAAGTCCCCTAAGGGGGGTTATCCTAACTATAACCTACTCATAACCTTACTTACTAAGTCCCATGAGCCTTCAAGTAGACCCGAAACCCTAAACCCCATAGATCCCTTTAAGGAACCCTATAGATCCCTTTAAGGAGCCCTTTAAGGTCCTATGAGCCTTCAAGTACCCATGACTCTCAGGGACTTATAAGTACCATAACCCCAATTAGGGGCCCTTTTAGGGTATTTATAAGTCTACTTACTAACTACTTACTAAGTCCCCCGACCCCCCAAGTAGAGCCTAAAGGTCCAGCGTCTTCCGGACGTGGAGGGGAAGAAGGAGGGCCAGGTCTTCATGCAGTTGAAGCTGGGCTTTGGAGTTTTTTTTTTGAACGGGCTTTGGAGTTTTTCTTTAAGGGCTTCGGAGTACCATACTTTAATACTTTTTTCTTAAAGGAAGCCTTATGAAATGAAAGTTTATACTTTTTCTCCCTGGTTACTTAAAAGCTCAGGAAGACACCCACAAAGAAGAAGAAATGATGGCAAGTTTCAGAGATCCAGCTTTCAGGTTTTAGGAGTTTAGGGTTTCAGGTTTCAGGGTTCGAGTTTGAGCAGACCGGGTCAGTTTAGGGCTCTAGGGAAAAAGCGCAGCGACGTTGTGAGCTGCCAATGAGTGCATTGGCATGCGCTGGCATCGTGAGCTGCAGCTCGCAGAGAGTTTTTCAACTGGTTGAGGAACCTTGTATACTACATTGGACACCAGTGTCGGCAATGGGAGTCGGCAACCACTTTTCCGGTGGCAAAAGCCCGGCTTTGTGATCCCATGATCAAGCTGGCTTTGTACCGTCAGCAAACGCTGTGCCTGTGAGCGCCGCTTGGTGCACAGTGGCCATCCGCAGCGCGCGCTTTTTCAGTGGTGCCTGTTTCACCGTACCGCCCTCCTCGTGCCCGTAGCAGGGCAGGGGTAGACCATTGCAAAGCGATGGGATGTAAAGGGGACCACGTCAAGGGCTGGACGATGCAAAAGCTGCTCCAACTCATGTTCTTGATTGCTGCTGGTTTGGTCTGCTTTCGAGCATCCGTTCCACCTTTGCAAACTGCCTTATTATTTCTGACCAGGACCACGACCACTACCACTCTCGTCATGCAGTCCTATGTCCAAGACCCGTTTTTAACAGGCTGATCCAGTGCAGAGCCCTCAAAGCAAGCCTTTAGACACCCTTATAGGAACCCTTGAAGGAACCCTTGCAGGACACCTTCAGTTCAGCCAAAGCCGCGTTCCTGAGGTATTTCGACCCCGATCCTGCTGGGGCAGATGACTACAAGATGTACACAAGGCCCGCAAAGCAAAGCCGCCCCCCGCCCCCCACCCGGCCCCCAAGTTCAGAAGTTCCAAGTACAGAGTAGCTTTTTGGGGCGTATTGGTTTCAGGTATAGAGTCTCTACCGCACGCGAAAAACGTCGTGACCAACATCCCGACATCGCATTGAGAAGATTTCAGTTTGGGTTTCTGGGCTGAGGGATTATGGTTTCGGGATGTTTTAGTTGCTCAGGTAGGGCTGCGGGGTGAGGGGCAGGACATACTTCCTAAACCCCTACGAAAGCCTCTCCGAGGAACCTTAAACCCCAATCCCTGAGCCGGAACCCTAAGCCGTAAACCCTATAAACGTCAAGCCCAAAACCCCAAAAGTGCAGGCACATGGGGGTCGTGGAAGGCGTGAAGACCACGTTTTCTGACTCGGAGCTCGCAGATTTTGGCCTGCTAGAGGCCTGTGATTGAGGAGTTCTTGGTTTAGGACTCAGGAAACAGAGTTATGGAGTAGGGTTTAGTTTTCGGATTTAGGGTTTAAAGTTTGGGATTTCCGGTTGTAAGTTTGTTTATTTTTCGCTTTTCAACTCGAGGCTTTATGTTGCTTTTGGATTTGAGGTCAAAGGTCGAGTCACTACGGCGGTTTGGAATTTGGGGGCTTGATTTTCTCCTTTTAACGCTACTGTTGCTTTCCAAACAAAAAGCCAGTGAAAGTGTCGCATCCGTCCTCATGTCCTCTTGCAAGAGAGGCACAGCATCATTGCTTGTTGGTGCATGCATGCTTGATCGGACAGATGGAGTGTCCTTTCGCACGATTTGGGACTTGGGGTGCGGAGTGTAGCTTTTGGTCTTTAGGTAGGGGTTGAGGGTTTACCTCAGGGTGCAAGTTCAGCACTCAGTGCGAGGGTTGTGATATGTCGTTCTTCTTTCTGCGCTTTTTTGTCCTAAACTTCTGTTAATCTAAGCCTCTGCACCCTCGACCTCTTGTGGCTCTTGGTCACATTCTCAAGTTAATGTAGGCCCTGACTAACAAACCACCGGCCGTTAATGAGGATTATGATGGAGATCCTGACATTAAGCCCCGTAAATGCCAGAGGGTTTTACTGGCAGAGGGTCTTGTATATGGGAATTTCCGAAAATAGGGGATCCTAATATAGTACCCTGAATAGTAGGATCCTTATAATAGGGACCCCAAAATAAGGTGCCCCTAATTTTCGGAAACTCCCACATGGCCCTATAATTTCCAGTATCATTTCTCAGGGCTCCTTGTCACCATGTTAGTATAACATACGATAGAAGCCTAGATAATCACCACTATGATTCCGTAGAGTTCCGTATTATAACTAATAATAACTATACCAAAAAGGAGCCCTCAACCCTAGTCTATCATTAAGGCCCCTACATTACCTCCCAGCCTTATTTAACACAGTGGCTGCCAGGGCAGCGAGGTCGATGCGCGCCAGGCATGGATGGTGAGATGCCGCACTAGCAGTGATCACCGTGATCCACCGTTTTGGGGTGGTGTGGGTTTGGCTTCGAGGTGTTTGGGGTTGTGGGCTCGGCCCTCAATTCCGGATCTTGGCTTGAGGCATTGCGCAAGGCTCACCTGGCACTGGCAGGTGCTTCTCTACCATTCGGCCGAAGAATGTCTCGGTCAGGCTGGTCTAGGCTGGCTTCTCACTTTGGTGTTCGGGTTGCAGAGAGGTTGGGGGTTAAAGGAGTTTAGGGGCTTAGGGTTTGGGGCTGAGGGGCTGCAGATTTTTGGGACCCAGGGTGACAGGTTTAAGACTTCAAGGGTTTTGGGGGGGCGTCAGGAGCTGTCTTGGGTGTATCCAGCAGGCATCTCCCTGCGACACTCAGAAAGATTTGCGCTCGTTGGGGTTGCGAGGATTCAGGGTTGAGAGTTTTTGAGAATGGAGATCTACCGTTCTGCCCTACGTCTTCATCGCTTCAATGCTCAATCAATTGCTCCAACACTAGAGCGCATTTCACAGGGCCGGTGTGAACGGAATTTGGGTGTGAGGCATCAGGCTTGCGAAGACTCCCCCAAGTGCCCACTGTTAAGAGCCACAAGGGCTCTATGAAGTGCACCTGGGCGAGGGGAATCACGGATTTAGGTCCGGGGTGTAGGGCTGAAGCACATGATTCCGGATTCAGACATTCAACCCGTAAAGGGAACCATATTGTAAAACCCGTAAAGGGAACCCCTTTCTGGAACCCTATAGAGCCTTTATGGGATTTACACAGTTTTTCTTTTAGCAGGGCTGTTCTGAAGTTGCAGAAAGGCTTTTACCTTGAGTTTTGGAAGTCCTTGCGTGGGTTTGCAATGGATTCCCCAGTGTTCCATGCCAGGCTTGGGGGTTCAGAGCAGAGTTTAGGGTTTAGGGGTTAGGGTTTAGAGGTTTAGGGGTTTAGAGGTTTAGGGTTTAGGGTTTAGGGGTTTAGGGGTTTAGGGGTTTAGGGTTTAGGGTTTAGGGGTTTAGGGGTTTAGGGTTTAGGGTTTAGGGTCCTGCCAGAGGTCCCAGACGTCCCCCGGATCCGGAAGACTCTATAGCGAAATTCGTAGTAGTCGAAACATTCATCAAAATCGCAAGGGGTCAGGGAGCAGTCAAGGTAAGCAATAATCACAAACAGGCTTCAGAACACCAGTCATATTCGTGGCAAGCATAGTACAGCACTCATGATTCGGTTGATGATATAGATCCTGCATCACCCATAGTAAGGAATACATCATAATTCCCATAGATTAGGGTCATGAAGGTAATCCAGGATTTATATCATCAACCCTTCGAAGTCGCGTTTCCAAGGGGAAGGCCTCGACTCCCCCCCCGGCGTTTCTCCATCTGCACGGAGTCTGAGGCAAGTGCCAACAGGGGCGTAGCCTCTTCAACACAAATCCAAACCGACCGCTAAGGCAACCAAACAACTCCTTAGATGTTTAAATGATTAAAGGTACCTTTGCAGGAACCCTAAGAGAAAAAGCCGCTGACAAGGCCGGAAGGACACCCAGGGTCAAAGTATCGGCCTGGGTTCTCAGCCAAAGCTGGGTTTCAGGTTTCGGGTTTTGGGCTGCAGATCTAGTGATTCATTTATGGCTTGTTCTTAAGTGAGGGCTTAGGCTTGCAGATTTTGAAACATTTTTGCGGGTCATAGCCTTCTGACTGGGTGCGATGGCGTTTACGTGCCATGGGGGCTTTCTTGAACTGGGAAAATAGGGCCGGATTGCTCAGGGTGGTTTTAATTCACAACAACGACCTGCTGTGTAGGGAGTATTTTCAAGGAATATTCTGAAGCCCGAAAATGTACCAGGCTTGTATTGCACAAAAGTCATCCTGATGGAATATAGCAGCCTAAATGATTACCAACACTAGTCTGGGGGCTCCTTATTATAAGTATAGTATAATGGGCCCCAAAACCTTATTCTAATTATTAGGGCCCCTACATTTGACAAAAGGGCAGCCCAGCCCACTCCTTTCTGCCCCCAAGCCGCCTTTGGGTTCGGGGTGGGGATTGCGAGTTGAGGATTTAACGGATGGGGGTTTGGGTGGACAGTTTCGCGATGGAAAACGGTAGCGGTCGGGAGTCAGGACTACAGTAGAAGCCAGAAAATTGGAACATTATTATCCTCATGGCTTTAAGGTAAAATAGAGGGAATCCTAGGATTAATCCTCCTAAAGCCATGTTCCAACTTTCTGGGGTTCACTATACAGTCACGCATTTCGGGGCGACTCTTTCCTCAAGTGTATCAGTCAACCCCGCTGCGCTCAGGCTTCTTCTGCGGCCTCTCCGGGAATGACAGGCAGCTTGATGACCCTAAACCCTAACATCCTAAATCCCAAAACTACACCCCAAAGCATACCACCGAGATCCTCAACCCTACGCTTGATGACATAAACCCTGCATTACCCTGACGACCCTAGACTCTGGGAACTATAGTATATTCCTTATTATGGATAATGCAATGCAGGATTTATATCATCGGCCGTAGTTCTTAAACCGTAAGCCCCGAACCCGAAGTACGGGCTGGCAGGAGCTCTTTCACCCGAAAAATCCGCCACCACAGGTAAACAAAAACTCAAGCACATTTTCAACTACCAGTACTATTATTATTACTAGACTTTTTATAGGCCCATTTGTCTAGCCTACTCCATCACTGGATCCCAAGCCCTTGTAACAGCAACTCCGCGCGCTAAGCCGAAATGCCATCGCCAGGTACTTCGAATGGATGAGTGGGTCATTGAAAACGAGCAAAATTGCAGCGTCATTGATGCTACTCGTCATTGAGGCTAAAGGTTTTGAGTGCAGGTGTTCAGGGTTAGACTGTTGAGGGTCGAGAGTTTAGGAGCCTCAGTCGCTCAGACTTTCAGCTTAATTTCAGGGTTGAGAGTAAAAGAAACCTGGCTCCATCACGAGCCTTGGTTGGCTACCACATATTCCAAATCCCACCAACCCTAAACCCTGAACCCCACTAGCAAGATGGAGCCTGTGTTCATTTGCCTTCAGTGCTTTTAGCGTCTACGTGGGTAGTTGTCAAAATTAAGGTCCCTTTTTGGGTCCCTATTATAATACGGCACCTAGTAGTTGTCAAAATTAAGGTCCCTTTTTGGGAAATAGGTGCCGTATTATAATAGGCACCCACATAGAGTCGGAGACTGGTGCTTCAACCCTCGACTCCAGAAAAACCTTAAGTGCCAAAAGTTACTCGGTACATACCCGCAACATGTACATGTGGATATCCATATATGTATGTGCAAACATGGTAGTACATACTACATAGGTGTGTGGCTTGAATTCCAGCAAAGGGGACATGTCCAACAATAGGTGATCGAGCTTTTTGCATCCTCAAAGAACCCTTGTGCCTGGGCGTGCATGTGCCGTTGTAGTATGATATACGCTTTCTTGTGTATGCGTGTGCGCGTGTCAGTGTGTTTTAATGTGTGTATGTAAAGTTAAAGGTACACACTATGTTATAAATTATACAAGTCTTTATGCATACATGCATAGGTACATACACACGTGTCCTCGCACATGCGTGCAACCACCCACTCCTATTTTTCTGCCCTTGCATTAATTCATGCAGCCACGAACCCATCCGACCTTGCATAATTGACATGGCATACATAGATATAGAGACATACGCACGTCCATTCTCTCTCTCACTCTACAGATGTGTATGTACACACACACATATATGTAAATATATGTGTAAGCAATATGAACAAAAATAACTATATCTATCTATCTATCTATGTATCTGTCTATCTATATATATATATATATGTATGTATGTATGTATATATATATATATACATAGTACATATGTATCGAATGCCGAATCCCGGCCCCTTCTTGTTGCTGCTGATGCGCTGCTGTCGTGTTGCTGCTGATGCTGCTACTGATGTTGTTGACGCTGCTGCTGCCTCCGTAAGCGTAGCGACATTCAATTGTAGCACAAAAGGATAGTAATGACGGCAAGTTTCGCTGTTATCACGGTTTTAAAAGCTCTAAACCCTAAACTCTTCGTCCAACCTGAAGACCCCACATTGCCAGCAACTACGCTATAGTATACTAACTCGTATTCTCTTGTCTTGCATCAGGTTATAGTATGGTATAGCAGGGGAGTGCCTTGTAGTCCTGCAAGAGCCAAGGAGCAGTGGCGGAGTTGTCAATCGCATAGCCTGGTTCTATGGCAGCAAGGGGCGTCGCCGGCAGATTTCAATCCAGGGTTCACCGTTGAGGGTGATGGCTGACAGTAGGTTGAACTCTGGGATAAATCTTCGTTTTCCTTGATGTGGGTTCCTAAATCTCGAAGGGCTACCTACCAATCCGTCGAACTGCTTCCCAGGCCTAGGCACCCCCAAATAAAAAGGCATTTGGTAAAGCCTAAACTCTACAACCATTTTCTGTATTCCTCCCCTCAAAAGGAAAAGAACAGCACCCGAAACTCTTGCACGTAGGTGTTTTGAAAACACCAGGTTTCAGAAGTACAAGGGTCCTATGGTCCTACTACAAACTGTACCTTGTAGGATCTGTGTTACGAGGACCATCAGGCCTGTGACTCCCATAACCCCACACGCTTAAGCCCCAAATCCTAAACCCTGAACCCTGAACCCCGACACTTAGACCCCAAACCCTAATGCCGACACCTATACACCCTACATATCACAAGATACTTCACCAGATTATATTACATTACACGGTATGATGTTACACTCTAATATCTTACATTGTGTTATATGAGGTTACATTATGTTATGTTGTATTCTCTTTTTTTGTTTTAGTAAAGCTGTGCCAGGCCTAGCATGGCGGTGGACACGGAGGAATCCTCGGGTGCGGCTGCTCTCGACACAGCCGTCGCCTACCTCAGAGAGGACGGTTTCGGGTTTAGGGTTTAGGATTTAGGGTTTAGGATTTAGGGTTTAGCGTTTAGGGGTTAGGGGTTCGATTTGGGGTTTAGCCCTACCTCTTGCCGTCAGTATGTATTTGGGTTTCATGGTATTTGTGGCAGGGTGGCTTGGGACATAATAGAGCTTCGCCGCACACCTCAGCTTTGGATGCTCCGGGGTTTGGGCTGCGGCTTTGGGCCAAGCAGCGGGTGCTACAGGGGCCCCTTGGATGTGAAGCTGTAGCTGTTGTCGATCACTTGCGCCCTAAACCTTGTAAACCCTATAAACCCTATAAGCCCGAAACCCAAACCCTAAACCCTATAAGCCCTAAACCCTCAACCCTATACCCTAAACCCTCAACCCTTGAAACCTAGACTGAGTTGGCGATTGACCACAAGGATGCCCTTGAAGTGCATGGTGTAACTCTCATCAGACAGGCGACCTTATCAGGGTGACCCCTCGTAAAACTCGCCTTTGCAGTGGAGGCTGCTTCGGACCCTTGTAGCACTCCTGGACTACGTTTTACATTCTACGACACAAGTAATATTAGTAGTAATAATAATAACGATAATAATGATCATAGAATAATAATGACAACAATACTTAACTTAAGCAGTAGAGGACTTTTGTTGGATCTAAGCCCTAAGACCTCATGAGCAAGGGAGATCTGCGGTTGGGGGCAGGATCGCTGTGCTCGCGCGATTGTCTCTGGGGTGAACTGGGCTCCTCGGCAAAAGCCTTGCAGTTCAGGGCTTTGGGGCTTCAGGAGTTACTAGGGTTTAGGGTTTAGGGTTTTAGGGTTTAGGGTTTAGGGTTTAGGGTTTAGGGTTCAGGGCTCTAGGGCTTTAGGAGTTTAGGATTTAGGACTCTAGTGTGTGGGTCTTTCGGGTTCAGGAGTTACGGCTTTGGGGTTTCGAGTTTTAGGTTTAGGGGTCTGGGGTTTAGGTTTTTAGAGTTTACCCCAAGGGTCTAAGTGCCTGGTGTTTCCAGGATGGCACACTCCAACACACTAACCCAAAGTTATGGCTGGAGGTGCTTTGGAGCCTTAGGGTGGTGCCAGAGCACCCAGCAAAGCAGACGTAGTACTTCTATCATGACTATCATTACTGCGATTATCTGTATGACTAGTACGACGTTTACTGTAATTGTTTATGGGTTGTCCGAGAGGCTGCGGTGCATCGGAAAAGGGGGCACTGAGCAAAAAGAAGCCCCGCCCTTTTCGCTAAATCCTAATACCTGAGACCGTGAAACTAAACCCTGAAAGCTCTAAACCCCAAGCGTTTCCGTAGAACGCTGAGCTCTGGGCCCAGCTTCAAGCGGACTCGTTTCAATTACTTGATAGAACTGGGAGTGGGCGTGATATGTTTTTCGGAACCTTTACTACTGAAACTCACGCAGCAACTGACCCTGCAAACGGTGTCAATCACTATATAACCAATCCAGCATGCTCCCCAGTACCCTTAACCCCAAACCCTGAAGCCTAAACCCTAACCCCAAAACCAGGTTGCAATCCCCCCGAATCCACGGCATATAGAGGTCTAGCCGAGCCAAAGCCTGACTCCCCAAGCCCATGGCGCTACTGGAACCACACCATAAACCCCGAGACCTTATAGATCCCTTAAGGGAACCCTTTAGAGGAACCCTAAGGGAACCCTTTAGAGGAACCCTAAGGGAACCCTTTAGAGGAACCCTTAAAGGACCCTAAGCCCCTATCCCTTCGCAGATTCAACTGCCTGTGTCGCTGATTCTGTGTTGCGCCCAAGCCTCAGTGGCGAAGGGGTTCAGGGTTTAGGATTTAGGGCGTTGGGCTCGTAGGGTTTCAGGCGCAGGATTTGGATACTTCATGGGGTCTCGCTTTGGTCGGGGTTTAGTTGTGCTTGGCAATGCTGGCGAGGGTTGCAACGACCACCGAACCCCAGACGTCTCGCTCAGCCCCTCAACCCTAAGCCCTGAAAGGCCACACGCGCACCTCCAAACCCTCGTCGGAATATAACGGTATAACCTTCAGCCCAAAAGTTTTGGAGAAGGCTATTATAAGCACCATCTAAATCCTGAGCTCGAAAACGCAAAGACCCTAACCATGCAGACTGAAGGCCGTGTAAACCTCAAAGTCGTCAATTCGTAAAGACAAGGGCCGAAATAATCACCAATATTACTTTGGGGTTCCTTAGCATAATTATAGCATTATGGGCCCCAAAACCCTGTTCTAATTAAGGCCCTCAAATTATCTCCCCAACCTTTAGCTGGGTTCAGGACTCCAGGCGTTTCTGAGTTTTGGATGTAGGGCTCCCGGGCTTCTGGGTTTAGGACTGACTATCTTGGGTTTAGGATTTCGAGTTTAAGGTTTCTGGGTTCGCAATGGGAGGGTTTGGGGTTTTGGATTTTGGGATTCAGGGCTTGGGGACATTCAAACTCCAATCCCGCGTTGGTTAACGCCCGAGGCCCGTGCGCAATCACTTTTTTCGGCTTGTGTTTACAATAGGGTGTAGGGTGTATCATAGTGTTCGATGTATCTTCGGGCTCACAGGGCTTAGTGTAAGTTGTGGGATTTCAACCCCGCGTTCCCACCCCAAGTCGTCTCAAACGCAAAAGAATACATACATCTGCATTTATGTGTTGATATGTACGTGTGTGTATGTATGCATGCATGTATGTTTGTATCCATAGCTATAAGCTATATCGTTCGATATCGATATCTATATCTCTATCTACATCTCATGAAGCTGTCCCAGGCGACTGGCATGCTCTCAGCCAGCGGTCGCGGTCGCGCGGCGACCTTGGGCGGTCCCTTGCAATCTCAGCATCGACTGTCCGACCCACCCAAAACCCAAAAGCTTAAAACCCTCAAAGCCCTAACGCCCGGAAACCCTAAGCCGCAACGCTCTAAAGCCTTGAAGCCAAAACCCTAAACCAAAGCCCAAAAACCCTGAAGCCCTACTGAAGCCTTCAAGCCCTAAAGCTTACATAAGGGGACGGGTTCTTTGACGACGGTCTTTAGGCTCTTAGTGTTAAGGGTCCTGTGCTTACTTGGGTTTGGAGTCCCTTTGACGGGTTTTGGCCCTCGTTTTGCGCCTATGACAAACCCCAGTATGTGCGTAGCTTGCAGGCGTCTTGGAAGAAAGTTAGTTTTGGTACTTAGACGCCCCTTTCAGAACATATGAGACCCTTACATAAACCTTAAGTAAGCATGAGGAACCTTTACGATACAGACCCCCGAAAGGCATTCTGCCAAGGTGTATGTTTTAGAAGGAACGGGGTTTTCTAGCTCTTGGAGCCTAATCTTGGAGTTTGAGAAAGTATGGGACGCGAGTGTAGACCTTATTATTCATTGCTTTCGGATCGAGCGGTGTGACCAGCGTTGCAAGCAAGTCGAACCGGTTGAGACTGTTAGAACACAATACCCCTGATTATGTTTTGTTTACTTAATACATCAACACTAGCCGTGGCAAGCCATGAACAGTAGGTTGTGATCCCATAGTTGTCGGGTTGTAGCCCCGTAAGGCAGCAGGTTGCTGGATCCACAGGGCTTTCTTCGTCAACAAGCACTGGGTTCGACCCCAAATCATCCCACACCTTGTCCAATTCAAGCAGAGGGTTTGGGGCTTACCTTAAGCTACAGTACCATAACCTACCCTGTTCATAGGTTCTTATATTCCCGAGTACAGACTTTATAGGTTCCGTACAAAAAGGGAGGTTTTGGTTCAAGGGGTGGTTGTCAATATTAGGGCCCCTTTTTGGGCCCCTATCATAATACGGCACCTACTGTCTAGGGTACCCAAAAAGGGACCATAATTTTGACAACCACCCGAATCTAGCGTTCGGGATGTCGGGCTCTAGCCCCCAAAGCTTCGGGTTTAGGGTTTAGGGCCCTCGGCCCCAGAGTACTTGAAAGGTTCTGCTCCCTGAGCCCTACTTGGAGGGTCGGGGGACTTAGTAAGTAGGTAGTAAGTAGACTTATAAATACCCTAAAAGGGGCCCTATTTCGGGCTATGGTACTTATAAGTCCCGAAAATAACCAGTTACTAAGTCCCGCGACCCTCCAAGTGAAGCTTTTGGGCTTACGGGTTAAAGCCGGAAGGCCTAAGAGCTAGATCTTCTGGGGTGTAGGGTTTAGAGTGAAGGGTCTAGGATTTAGGCCCAGGTCTGTGCTTTGGGCGTCATCTTAAAGGGCCTGTTATGATTTCAAGCAAAGCTCGAAATTGAAGGGTTTCGGCCTTAACTAGGTTGTGGTTGAGTCGTTCTGCTTCCGTTTAGGGTTCAGGGGAAGGGTTCAGGGTTCAGCCCAAGGCGTTTGATGAGTCCGCGGACGGCAACGTTCGCAGCGAAGGCAGGTCGGATCGGTGCGAAGTCCCAAGCCTACACTCTTACACTGCTTACCTCCTGAAACTGTTCGGGTGGTTTGAGTCGAGCTCCTCAACTAGAGCCCAGTTCAAGGTGTTGGGCTTTAGGGTTAAGGGTCTAGGGTAGGATGTATGGTTCAGGCTGTTCAGCCGCACCCCCTGGCTCCAAACCTCACGGGAACATCACAGGCCAAGTTTCGCACCCCGAACTTTTCCGAGACATGCCCCTAAGGCCCAAAATCCTAAACCCCAAAACTCCAAGCCGCCATAAGCCCTAAAAACCTAAAACCCAAACCCTCTACCCACGACACGTCAAAGCCCCAAACCCCATAGAGCCTGAAACACTGAACCCTAAAAGCACTAAGCTCCTAAACCCCTAAGCCCTTAAACCCTAAACCCTAAAACACTGAACCCTCAACCCTAAACCCTGAAACCCTAAAACCCAAGTTTTGGGAGGCGTTGTCTCCGTGCTCATGGAGGCCCATGGCCGTTGGCGCCGCGCAGCAGAGGCAGAGGCAGCATTGCGAAATGCGGCGTAGGAGGAAGGCCGCCATGGAACAATTAGATAGTCTGTACATATTCGTGGTAAATTGCAACCCCCCGTTAAACACTGTACCGCAGTGCCTGGACAAGCAAACCACAGTATAGCATCTCGCCGAAAATCCCAGTCTAGCTACCCAGGCCCGAAAACTTGGCTCTTACGCTGCTTGTAAGCCCGTAAAAAAATCCTTTGACAAGAAGCCCTTACAGTGGGGATTGGCTGAGACATCTTTAGTCGAAGGATGCGAAGACTTAGACTTAGCACGAAGTTTATTATAATTCATGGGCTGAACCGCATTGACCGCCTACTGGAGGAAGTTCTGGTCTAGACCCTAAACCCCTGAACCCCTAAACCCTACCTAAACCCTATATAAGTCCTACCAAAACCCTAAACCCTACCTAAACCCTGTAAACCTCTAAACCCTAACCGTCGATCTGCCAGGTGGACGAATTCCGGCCGGCAGCAGAGGCCGCTTGGAAGTGTTTCGACGGTTTGGGGTTACTTGGAGGTTCATGGGTAGTTATAAGGGTTCCTTTAAAGGGTCCCTTTAAAGGGATCTATAGGGATAATATAAGGGTATGGGGTTTAGGGCCTACTTGGAGGTTCATGGGTAGTTCTAGGTAGGGTTATAAGTAGGGTGACTATACTTATGACCCTTATTAGGGGACTTATAACCCCACTTATAACTACCCATGAACCTCCAAGAACTGGGGCCCACGAACTCCCACGAGAAAGTTGATGGCTCGGTTGACTTCGACATGCCTCGGCTTCTGCATAATCTTAGGATTCGACAGCCAGTTGGGCCCAGTTTACTGGCCAAGGATGGCGCATCGGTGTTTCTCTCAGCAGACCTGGATGTACTGAGGGGTTCGGTACCACCTTAATTAATTTTTTTGATAACTACCATTACCAGTCACCGCGACTACCACGATCACGACTCCGATCGCGACCACTACCACTGTTGCTACTACTACTACCGCTACTACTACTCCTGCTACTACTACTACTACTACTGCTGCTACTACTACTACTAGTAGTAGTAGTAGTAGTAGTACTACTACTACTGCTACTACTACTACTACTACTACTACTACTACTACTACTACTACCCTAAATCTGCTGCTTCTGTTGCTGCGGCTACTACTACGACCGCCAATATTCTGCCGGACGTGTTTACCGCCTTGACTGCCCAAGCTCAGCTCCGCTTTCAGTGGACAGTTCCGTGGTAGCGCGTGGAGTTTAGACTGTAGGGGTTGGGGTTTCGCGATGGCTTAGCGGCGCTTAGCACTTAGGATTGAGGGCTCAGGGTAGCCCCTGGCTTGAGCCGGTCACTCGTTCCAACTAAGCCCACCAGTCGCGTGTCTGTACATTTTTACTGTTGATGGCATAAACCTCTGAGCCCGCCCAATCATGTCTCTTGTAAAGTTTTTTGGGGCAGATACCGGTATCATCCGGTGTGATTGGTCAAAAGTTCTACAATGTCGAGTTCTATTCTGCCCCATGCATGTTCTGGCCTTGACTTTCTGCCCTAAACCTTGAACCTTCCAACATCTATGCGAACTAGCCCTGGAACCCATACTCCAAAGCTTCTAAGTGTGTAACAGGTTCGAACCAACATGTCTCTCACCTCCCAGGACACCAATCTTGGCCATCGCTAGACAGGAACACTTATCTTTCGTAACTTACACGCATCGCGTAGTCGGCCGTCAGACGTGGATCTGGAGCCCTGCTTTCGAGCATCAGCTCCACTGATGAAAGTTCGGGGATGCTCATCGTTACCTAGGGCTACTACAGGGGCCTTCACAATTACCTATAATTACTCTTCTGGGGTTTCCTTACTATAACTATAGTATAATATACCCCCAAACCCTCATCCCCGGTGTTATGTGTTAGTTATCCCCTGCCAGAGGAGTGGGACGCTGAGCTGCAAGATGACATGCAGAAGCACAGGCACCTTGTCAGCACGTCTCCAGGGTTTCGTGGCTGTAGGGATGAGGTCACGTACTCTCCTGGTGTACTGCTGAGCTCTCAGCTCGACAGCCGCAAGTTCCAAGCCCTAAATCTCCAAAACCCACATCATCATCATCATGATCATCATCCTTATCAGCGTCACCAGCAGCACTTTCGTTGTACCATCAGATCTTAAAAATTGGACTGCCGTCGTCAACACCGCAACCACGTTCTGCTTCTTCGACTTCATCACGGGCACAAGCCATGTTCGCCACCACCATCATCATCAACATCATCATATTCATTCATACACAATATAATCTCACATAATCTTAGTTGTCCATATCTTCAGCATCTTCATCATCGTCGTCGTTATCATCATCACCCGCACCATCATCATCATCATCATCGTCATCATCATCATCATCATCATCAAAAGCATCTGCATCATCATCAACATCAACACCGTCAGCAGCTTTGTTATCTCAAGCAGCGGCAGCATTATCTTCGTCGGCACCTGGCCAACTAGCCATAATTAGCCATCAGCATCAGCATCATCAACGTTTTCATTCTTCTGGTTATCATCATCACCTCTCATAGTGGCGATGCACGCCCGGGCCCCCTACGTCCTGACAGCCACAGCACAAGGGCCCTCACCCATAAACTCGCAGCCTAAACAGCTCCTGAAGGTTCCAGCCGAAACCCACAAACCCCAAACTCTTAGCCTCTGGAATGATTGAAGCTGTAAACTCGTAACCCACCAGATGCCCTAGTCTAAGCTAGGGCTTGGATCGCAGGCTTCTGATCTGTGGCTCCGCCCTGAACTCACGTGGCCAGAGTTCGAGCCTCCTGGCACCTTCCAGTGATCGCCTCGGAAAGGGTTCGGTGACGGTTTGATATTTACAGGAGCTTGAGAGTGTGTTGTCGGCATTTTATACTCCTCTGAGGGGTTTCATAGTGTACCATAGGGTCTGCATAACCAGTTCCGCTTACAGCCCCTGTTTACCTATATACTGTAACTAGCATGCCCGAACCCTATCATGGTCGCAACATGTACGAGGTTGGGTTTAGGCTTAGGGATTCAGACATTTGAGATGTGTGGGGTTCCGGGGTTTAGGGGTTCAGGCTCGGGGCTAAGTTATGGGTTGGATGAGTTGCCGGGGTTGATGATGCTGTTTCCGGGATTTTGGCGCGAGGTGTAAGGGTAGTTGGCAGTTCTCCAGGCCGTGCAGATGGTTTTATGCAAGCATTGCGTTGGATGAGAACTCTCGTTCTCGATCCACTGGATGAGGCGCCCCCACAAACCCCATGCTAATTGCGAAGGTCCCTGCATGATTTGATAAAGTATCGAAAAGGGCAAGATGCCCAAGAGTATCATCTTACGTGCTCTATGTGGGGCTTCCCGAAACTAGCGCACCTTTTCTTGTGAAGCCTCTTTCTAATTAACAAGGATACTAGTGTTGAGGTTCAACACAAGGTTTCTGACTCTCCGATATAGCCGTATGCAGCCGCAGTGTGGCCATGTTTTCAACTAGTCACGCATTCGCCACATTAACCTTCAAGTCAGGCGTTCCTCAAGTCTCCTAGGGCGCATTGGAGAGCAGTTCTAGAGCTCTTTCGTGCTGGCGTTCAAGCTGGGGTGTTATGATCGTTCAGCCGTATGCAAACGGTAGGGGGCTGAAGTAACCGATTTCAAACGGATCCACTAATCCGGGCAAGAGGAACTCTGGGCTGGAATGCAGAAGTCGGTCACATGCCCCGAACAGATACCCCAACGGTCCAAGGGACCCAATAATTAGGTAGTCGGGTTTCGGATGGTAGTTATGTAGGTTAGGATGTTGGAGAGTGTATGATTATCAGGTACATTGGACCCTTGGGGATATAGCAGGACCTACCTCCATCCCCTTCGCGCAGTACAGTCTACCCTATGCACCAGTGCTATACACCAGTGCTGTGTATTCAGGTCTTGATGTTGGGCCACCAGTTGTCGCACCATCAAGGCTGTAGAACTTTAGATACTAAGCCAAGCAACTAACCAAAAACAACTAACCAAAGCCTTAATGTAAGGGCCTTAATAATTAGAGCACGGTTTGGCGGCGCACTATACTATACTATACTTATAGCAAGGAACTCCCCAAAACATAAGCCCCAAATCGTGCTTTAGCGGCCCAAGCAAGAGGTGCCGCTATTCAGGACCTCATCGAGAGTGCGCTGAAGGACAAGAGGGCAGTGAGGTTCCAGCTAACAGAGCTTAGTATAGGGGCCTTAATAGTTAGAGTCGGGGTTTGGGGGCCCACTGTACTATAATCATAATAAGGGAACCCCAAAAACAGTAAAGGTAATTAGTAAGGCCCCCATGGTAGTTTCACAAACATCATCACACTCATTGCCGCACCCTTCGTCATCACCAGCAACACATTTGGTATCATTTAGTAGTTTCAGTATCAGTACCGCCAGCGCCATTGCCACTATCACGGCAATCACGGTCATGCTACAATACAAACCAAATGTTATCGTGACCACCAGCAGCAGGAAAGGAATGACATAGCAGAACCGGCGGCAGCGGTCGCGGCAGCAGCACAGCTGTCGTCATCCAGCAAAACCCAGCAGAATCAGCGGATTCGCCTGCTCCTTGGGTGGGGGGCTGCTATTGGTGGCATTGCTGCTAGGCTAACACCACCACCACTCCTGCTGCTGCTGATGCTGCTGGTAATCGCATGCCACTATGACTATGAGACCATGCCAGGACTACATGCATTGTTGTCGGACAAAACCGTACGGCTCATGTGTCATCGTTACAAGCAGCATCATAACCCCAGCATTTGGAAAGTATCGTGTTGGGTCGAAACGAAGTACAACCATCGTTCGCCTTGAGAATTGGTTCTGCTGCTGCGCTGCGAGGATGCGAAGTGCCCCGCCTCCATCGTTGACGGGGTGGAGGTGGCGGCATGAAGTGGTATGAACCTGTTGGCTTGATTGAGTTCCGGCGAATGAGGGTCTTAAGCAACTAGGCAGAGGACTTTTGTTAGACCCTATCATATGCTGAAGACTCCATTCCCAGCTCCGTCCGTATCAGAAGTAAGGTCTGGGATTCTGAAGCCACATCTCTGCGCTTCGGCGCTGGCTGAGCATGCTTTTTGTGTCCAGTTTTGAACCGTTTACATTTTGACGACGTCGAAGCCCTAGTCCTGAAACCTGTACTCTGGACTACTTTCCTTCGACCCAAAGCCCTGCATCTCGGCGCTAACGCCTGCAACTGAAGCTCCTAACAAGACGCCGACCGGAAAGCAGCAAAATCAAAGAACACCCTTTTAAGCTTCACTGAAGCGGAAGTTTCAGCAGCTACGGGACTTTCATACCTGCCTTGGTTTCAATGTCATATGTTTAAGTGGGCATCTGTTGATATCGGGGGTACTGACTGTAAGACTTTTGAGACTATGGGCCGAGAGATATGGACCACGACCCTAGGAAGTAGGATCCTGATGATAAGTAACCTGTACACGGGAGAAAGCCATAAAATTCGATAGCACCTATGCGAAGCCCTTTATGGAGGACCTGACTCTTTCCGAACCCTAACCCCTAAGCCCGTGGAAGTGGAGAGACAGAGGCCAATGCTGGTGGCAACTCACTCTCTGATGCCGTCGAGCTGAACATCTTGAGGATGCGGCATGTCGGGTTGAGGGTTTAGCACCTAGGATGGTTGGGTCAGGCGTTCGGGGTTTAGGATCTAGGGTTGGGTTTACTCCTTGGGGCTTTAGGGGTTTAGGGCTTTACGTGTTGAGGGTTTTAGGATCCAGAGTGCTTTAAAGTTTCTTCAGGCTTGTAACGGAGGTTCTTGTTCCGGCGCTCACAGGGTTTCCCTGCATCCACGTACAAGTGTTCACCGCTTTGGGGAAATGGCACAAAGGATTTACAGCACCAAGTGCTTAAGTGCCCTGCCACAGTCCTGCCCTCAACTCCAAACTTTAAGCCCTTCAATAAATCCGAACAACCATACACCCCAAACTCTAAACTGGGAAACCCTCAACTCTAAACTCTCAAGCGTAAGCCCAAACAATCCCTCTACATGACATTCTTTTCCATTAGCATGATATTATTGCTATTGTGCCAGTAACTTAAACCCCAAGGCCCTATACCAATTTACCATAAACCCTGAACCCTAACACCCCCCCTCCCCAAAAGCAAACACACAAAAACCTTCCGCGCCCCGCTGCTAGGAGGTGTCTCGCAGCTGAGGATGCCGCAAAGGCTTGCATGTTGCACTCGGTAATCTTGGGGTCCTAGGAATTCGAGTTTAGTTTAGGACTCAGGGTTTAGGGAATGGGATTCCTTCTAACGGCTCTGTTAGGGGTTACTACAAGGGGTATTATGGGGATTAGTATCGGGGCTCTGACAGTTCTCATAGGGTTTGGACATAGTATTACATTGCAGTTTAGTACGGAACCCTGCAAAATAATATGATTAGTTATTTCGGCCCCTCTGAAAGGGTCTTCAAGGCCAAGAGTCTAAGGTTCAATGGGTTTTTTCGGGCTCAGGGCTTGTATAAGGCTGAAGGTGTTTAGGCTTTTCAGGGGCTTAGGGTTCGGGGTTTCAGCGCTTTCAGGGCCAGGCGGGTTGTGCTTACGATTTCAGCTTTCCGGGGGGCGAAGAATTTCGACTGCACTTCGCAGCATCCGGAGCCACGCAATGCTTATTACGGCCCATTTGACGGCTCCTGCAACGGCGACGGTTCTGTCTGTAGTGGTTTTGACTGTGCTTGAGGTTGGGTGACGTTGGGTGCTCGTTTTTGCGGTCGTGGCAGCGATGATTCTCTCAGTTGTTGTGGTCGTTATTCTGTTCATCGTTGCTAATAGTGATTGTGGTTGCACTGCGATCGTGGTGACTGGTGCTGCCTTGCTGCTTCTGCTGCTGCTGCTGCTGCTGCTGCTGCTGCTGTTGATGCCGTTGATGCTGTTGCTGCTGCCCCAACTGCTGCTGCAATACCTTCGCTTCTGCTGTTGCTGTCGTCGTCGTTGTTGTTGCCGACGACAGCCGCGACATGAGCCCTAAAACTTAAGTACAACCTTGCTAGGACGGTCCCTAGCTGACTCGTACTCGCACCTGAATTATGGGCCCTGAAACTCACACGCCACGCCAAAGCTACCTCCCATACACCTAACACCATCTAAACAACTATATAGAAATAAAACTCCGAGAACCCACAAAGTCTAAACCCCAAGCCCTGAGCCATTAAAGACCCCCAAATTAAAAAGGCCCTTAAAAGCATAAAAACATTAAAGCAACGATGGCACGAGACCACGACGTCCTCCGCCTCGGTGCGCGCCACGAAGACGCTGATTGGAGAACCTGGCCCGACAGGGCCTCAGATTGACTGGAAAGATGCTGACAGAAGATTTCGGATCTGGGGCGTTGTAGAGTTTTAAGGGGCTTGTGTAGAGCTTGTAAGGTCTTATAGAGTTTTTGTAGTTGCTTTTGTTGGGAGTAGGAGGGGATATAGGATGTTAACGGGGTTTCGTGGGGAGTTTTGCAAGTGTTTTGGCGAAGACCCTAAACCCTAAAGCCTAAACCTTAAACCCCTAAGCCCCAAAGCCCAAACCCCTAAACCCCTAAACCCCTAAACCCCTAAACCCCTAAACCCTAAAGCCCTAACAAGCCCTAAACCCTAAACCCGTAAAAAGCCCTAAACCCTAAATCCCTAAACCCCTGGCCCTAAACCCTAAACCCCTAAAAAGCCTTAAACCCTAAGCCCCTAAAAAGCCCTAAACCCTAAACCCTAAACCCCAAAAAAGCCTAAACCCCTAAACCCTAAACTCCTAAGCCCCAAGCCCTGAACTAAACCCTAAACCCTAAGCCCTAAACCCTAAAAAGCCTAAACCGGAGACCCAGGCCGGGAGGCTTGGCCTGCCTGGCTCGAGCTTGCTTCACGCTGCAGAAGGCGGGCTTACTTGGAGGTTCATGGGTAGTTATAAGGGCTCCTCTAAGGGCCCCTTTAAGGGGTTCGATAGGGATTCTGTACGGGTATAGGGTTCAGGGCCTACTTGGAGGTTCATGGGTAGTTGTAAGTAGGGTGAAACGTCCCCTAGAATGGGTTATAAGCATAGTTACCCGACTTAAAACCCTACTTATAATAGGGTTTTTCAGGGCTTTGGGCTTACGGTTTGGGGCTGAGGGGTTGGAATCTTGGTAGCAATGTTCCCTTAGAGTCGTTATATGGGTGGTTGTCCGTGTTAGGGTCTGTTTTTGGGTCCTTACTATGATACGGCACCTAATATCTAGGGTACCCAAAACGGGACCATAATTTTGACAACCATCCATATAGTTACACTATTATATGCCTCAAAGCCTTGTTCCGATGATTAAGGCGCTTCTATCGGACATGAGGGGTGAGGGAGGCAGCATCTCTTGACAGGATTTCTGATTGGGATTCTAGGGGTTTAGGTAGGGGAATCGGGCCCTAGAGACTTCAACACCTCGGGATGAGGGGAATTTACCGCAGATTTCCGGGCTCTTAGCCCAAGTTTTCGGACATCCCTGCATTGAAAGGGTTTCGGAGCTTCGAGACCGTTTGGTGATTGGGGCGCTGGAAGGGGGCATTTAAGCACTTTAATTTTTTGGGGTGTGCTTGGAGGTTCATGGGTAGTTATAAGTAGGGTTATAAGTAGGGTAACTTTGCTTGTAGCCCATATCAGGGGACTTATAAGCCCATTCATAACTACCCATGAACCTCCAAGTGAGGCCCTAAAACCTATACCCTTACAGAATCCCTATAGATCCCCTTAAAGGGGCCCTTAGGGGAGCCCTTATAACTACCCATGAACCGAGCTACCCTAGACCCTAAACCCCTAAACCCTATAGAACCCGTAAGGGAACCCTAAACCCATATGAGGGGACTTATAACCCCACTTCTAACTACCCATGAACCCTCCGGGTGAGGCTTTCATGTCATTGCGCAGACTGGAGAGTCGCTACTTGCAAGGTTGATGGTTTAGGGACTCGGGTTTTGGGCTTCAGGTCTAGGGTTTAGGGTTTAGGGTTTAGGGCTTAAGGTTTAGGGTTTAGAGTTTAGGGTTTAGGGCTTCAGGTTTAGGGTTTAGGGGGGTTTAAAACTTAAGGTTTAAGGTTCAGGGTTTAAGGTTTAGGGTTTAGGGGGGTTTACGGTTTAGGGTATACGGTTGTGCCATGAACCGGTGGAAGAGTCGGTTGAGCCCTGCCAAAGTCATGGACACCCGAGCTCCGACACCCAGAAAACCGTTGAATGCTCCAATTCCCGGAAAGCATACCCATTAGGGACCCCCAAAAGCACATAAGCATATGCATTTTAGAGGGATATCCCTACCTTATTGGGCTTCATTGTAACGGGGTTTATATGGAATATCCCTAACCTTATTCTTGCTTATGTGCCGCTTTTGGACCCCAACCCAAACTCCAAAAGCCCCACCCTAAAGCCACACACCCTCAACGCTCAATCGCAGGCCGTCAGCGGGCCGTTGATCCACCTCCGGCAGCTTTCGGAGATTGCCGCCTCCTGGCTCCAAGCAATAGCCAATAGCTGTTGATGTTTAGGGTTTTGGGTTTAGGGTGGGGACAGGGTAGGTTTAGGGGTACGGGTTTGAGGGTGTAGGGTTTACGGCTCAGCGACCCAACCTTAGACAAGGGGAACTGGGTTCGTTTGGCAGGACTCCTGTTCCTAAGCCTACATCCTGACCTAAACGCCCCTCGACGCTTAAACCCTAATTGTTCCCGTAAGCTACAGAAACCTGTTCTACTGGGTGTAGACTGTAGACCCTTAAACCCTTATTGTTACCGCAAACCCGTATAGTTCGGTTAGAGGAACCCTACAGAACCCTATTCTCACTAAACCCCGAACTATTCTTGGTAGCTGATTGGATACACTTTAGACTCTTGGGATAATATGACCCACTATAAAGCTGAATGTGTACACGTTTTGGGGCTTATGAACTCAGCAGCTAAGATTTCGGTGCAGTCTTTAGGATTCTCTATCTTCCCCCATGACTTGCCTCCCAGGCGCAACAGGCAGACGAAGACGAGACGCTTGCTCCCAAGCTCCTTCTCACAACAGAGGTGGCCTTCAGGGCTTTTGGGGCTCGTTGTTTTTTTTTTTGAGGGGGGGGGTGGTTAGGTTTAAGGGCCTATGTGTTAGGAGTCGTTGTCGCTTCATGCTAGGACTTAAAGCTTAGTAGTGCGGTATGTCGACTAGGGCTTGGGTTTCTGAATGTACTGCGCAGGTTTTAGCAGTTGAGGGTTCGAGCTTTCCCGTCGAAGGTTGCCAGTTTCGGGTCTGACCCTCGGCTATAGCTGAAGCTTAGGGCTACTTAGAAATAAATTTAATTTTTTGGTTATTATAATCCCTAAGAAACAGCTAAAATCATAATTTTTCCTAGGGTTCTAAGTTCAGTATAGGAAGGTAGGCCAGGCGACTGCGTCCCTGTAGCTGCTGCTTTTTGGGCTCCAGGACACCGTCACAGGGGGACTTCCTAAACTCCCCTATGCATGCCGGAGAGCCCAATACCCTTAATTAAGGAGTATACCTTAAATCATTAGGGGCTTCATATTATGATTTAAGCTATATTCCTTAATGAAGGGGTATTGGGCTTTCTGGGATTGATTGCATCTGCAGGCTTTGGGCTGCTGGGTGCATCAAGTGGCACAACTTAGCCTGAAGCCAAGAGCTCTGAACCCTACACGCAAAGCCCAAAACCCGAAATTTCAAAGGCTAGCCAGACCTTTTCGTCGAGGATCGGGGTACTTGGTAAATCGGTAAGAAGTAGAGCTATAAGTTACCACCAAAACGGTCTTAATTGGGGTTATGATGCTTGGAGCTCTATAGAAACAACTACGTACTAAGTCCGCCGACACTCCAAGTATCAGGAACCTTCCGTCAGGCCTTAACCCCTAACGCCCCAGCCCCCCGAATCCACAAACCCCTACAGCCCAAGCCCCCTGAACCCTAAACCCTAAACCCTAAACCCTAAACCGGTCGTTTCTGATGCTCCTCTTCGACCGCCTGAACACTGGGATGATTTTCGCGAGATGGCAAAAACATGCACAGCCCCTCGTGTGAAGCACAAGTATACTGATAACGATGAGATCAAAGAGGCCATCCGCGTTGCCAAAGCCAGTCAGGGACGTGCCAGTAAAGTTCTTTGGCAACAAGTACATCGACTTCGCAAGCGTGCTAGGAGAACATGGAAGCTCCAGCGGGCTGGCAGTGTGCTGGCTGGTGACTGGTTCGTGTACCGTGACATGCGGGCTGCAAGCAAACGTCGTTGTTGGTGGGGTGGTCTTCTTCGTGAAAACAGTGCCCAACAGGTTGCTGAGCATGTTGGAGAACATCTTGCTGGCAAGGTATCCGATCCTGCACTCGCTTGGCAGAAGGCACTTGCCACTCGTGTTGGGGAGATCTCTTGCAGTGAATACAACCGGATCGCTCCGGAGGAGGTGGGGATTGCACTGAACAAGATGCGAGCTCGATCCTCAGTTGGGCCGGATGGTGTTAGTGTCGACCTCCTCCGTGCCATCTTCGCTGAATATCCGGCCAGTCTATGTCGCCTACTTGATGATACACTTCGCTCTGGGGTGTTGCCTGATGATTGGGGCGAATCTCTTCTTGCCCTCCTACCGAAGACTTTCACTCCTCAATCTGCCAAGGATCTTCGGCCTATAGCAATGTCCTGCAGTGGCATGAAGTTATTGTCCAAGGTCGTTATGAACCGAACTTTTCGTCAGTTGAGGGATGACTCGCCTTGGTCTTCGTGCGGCCAGAACCGTGGAACAGCTGACCTGCACGGGGCGATTAGCCGACTTCGTGATATGTCGAGAGAGTGGAGACTTGGGGTGGTCCTTGTCAAGTTGGACATTGAGGGCGCTTTTGACTATGTCAACCGATCTTCGGTCGCCGATTTCATTGCTGGTCGCCTTCCAGATGCTCAGTTCTCCTACGAAAAGCGTTTTCTGCTACAACTACTTGATGAAAATGTTCTACGGGGTGCTGCTCCTGGAGGGGGCGAAGTCCGTGTAGTTTGCAACCGTGGCATCCGCCAGGGGTCTCCTGAGTCGGCAGAGATCTTCGGCATGCTCATCTCGAGTGTCATCAACCAGATCAAGGCTCGAGGACAATGGAGGGACCCAGTCGGTAAGTTACGGGACGTTCCTGCTGATGTTGGGACGTACCAGGACGATATATTCGTGTGGTCTGACACAGCTGGGGTGCTTGAGAAGAACATTGATATGATCTCCGCTGAGCTTGCCAAACTTGGTCTGAAGTTGGCGGTGAACAAGACATGTATCATCGCCAGCAAGTACTACAAGGGACGTCGGGTTGTTCGGATTGGCGAGGTGGACATCCCGATCCAAGAGGCCGGTAGATCTGTGCGAATCTTGGGGTTGGACTATGATTTTGATGCTCCAGCTGCTCAGCAAGCTCGCGAACTACATGGACGTGTTTGGGGTGCTTTTCATGAACACAAGCATCTTCTTTGTGGCCCTGGGAGTTGGAAAGAAAAACATCGTCTGGTCCAGATGTTGGTCGAAGGGACGTGGAGCTGGTCTGCTGGAGCTGTACACTGGGAGAAAGCCGAGTTGCAGATGATGAACAGTACCCAAGCTCGTGTGCTGAGACTCGCTTTTGGAATACGACGTGGGGCGAACGAGAATTGGGTCGACTACAACAGCCGTTCCCTGAGGCAGGTCCGCATGTGGATTGCACAGAGTGGGGCGGAAAGGTGGAGCAGTAAAATACTGCGTCTACAATACCAGTTGGCTGGACACTGGATGCGACAACGGGAAGGCGATGATGTTCGTGGCATCGCAGGCAGAATGACACTCTGGCGGAGCTTGGAGTGGTGGAATCATGAGAAAGGTCTCACGGTTGGGGCGCGACATCCAATGCGGTTTCGTGCGGCAAACCTTGAACGATCCCTGGCAACAAGTCTTGGGGAAAAGTGGTACCTTGCATGCAGTAATAGGGATGCTTGGAAACAGCTACTTCGCAAGTGGCTTTCTGATGTGGATGTTCCATGGTCAAGGGGGCGACAGCTTTGCCTGTGTGAGTGAACTGTGTCCTGGCGCTAGTGAAGTCTTCTACCGACTGAGAGTGCCTGTGCAGTTCTGTGGTCTGGCTGTCTGCTTCTGCTGACTGGCTCTTGGGGTGCAAAGACATGTGCAAGTGTTCCACGACATTTATGTGATGTTCCAAATGATGTTTCAGACTTATTTCACTGTGATAGTGGTGTGGTGACTTTACCTTCTGTGCCCCTGGCACATCAATTCGCTCAACATGGCTCTGCAGTCCTGCTGCCGTGGACGTGTCTGCTTCTTCGGGGCGACCTTCCTCTTCTTCCTCTACACACGGCGTGGCGGGGCGGTTCCTGCAGGCTCTCGCACTGCTTGGAACAGCAACAGCAACAACTGGCAGAGACCTTCGGCAACATCTTCGACTTCCTCTTGGTCTGGATGGGATGGACAATATCAACAGGCTGGCCCCCTCGGAAACTACAATGCTGAAGACGAAGTTACACAGGAGCTACAAGGGCAACCTTGGGGTGGACATCCTCTACACGACGATCCTCCGGAAGAACAACACTGGCCAGGACATCCTGTACATGACGAACCTCCGCAAGTTCCACACTGGGATGGTCATCCTCTATATGACGATCCGCCGCAAGACCAACATTGGACTGGACATCCTCTAAATGACGATTCGGATGTACCTCAACGTTGGCATGGACGAAACCACTGGGAGTCACGAGCTGGACAAGCACCTGATGCTTCGTCGTCGGATGGACAGTGGTGGCAAGAGAGTTCCCAGCAATGGCGAGATCGAAGGCCTTGGGGTGATCCTGCCCAAGATCATGGCTGGTCTTGGCAACCACATGGAGATGAACGTGGAGACCGAGAATATGGTGGCTGGGAGGAATGGGGTGCTTGGACGGACCGTGGTGGCTGGACATGGGATGAGTGGTATGACCATCCTGGCAATGGTGTGGGGCAGTCTGCTTCATCAACTCGGGGCGGAGCCACAAGTTCATCTCCTGTTCGTGAAGTTCCTCCTAGCCGCCCACAAGGTTTCTTCCGTCATGGGACGTTCGTCAACCGTATTCGTACGGATGAAGAACAGCGATTTCACACTGGTGGACAGGGACAGCAGCGTCAGGGGCGTAGACAAGAAAGACTCCGCCAATGGAGGGATGGGACGTTTGTGCCTGCCTGGCGACGTCATATGGATGAAGTTGCCAGTCGGCTACATGGAGGTGGTAGGGCGGGTTCCGAAAATATAATGGAGGTAGTACGAAATGCCGAAAACCGTGCAGAACAACAACTTCGTGCTGAAGCTGCTGCTGAAGGTCGTGCCCAACATCCACCTCGAGAAGTACCTGGTGCACCTGTCGAAGAAGTACATGCTGAACAACCACCTCATGCTGGAGTTGGACCTGGGGATATCTCAAAAGAAGACGATATCAGTGAGGATCATACATCATGTTCCTTGAGTTCTGCCTCGAGCTGGGAATGGGAGGCGTCTGGCAACCTTGGTGTCGATTCGTCAGTGCAACTGGGAACCTCAGGGGACGTGACCGAAGCAACTGTTCCTGTTCAAGAACATACAGCTGGTGCTGTAGGGTCGTCTGCTCCTCGGTGGTCGCGTAAGCAATGGGATGACTGGGAGGAATGGGATAGAGCTGCAGACGGATCAGTTACTCCTGACGGAGTCAGCCTCATGCAGCAGCCTGGTCGTACAAACAATGGAGCCACTGGAGGAGACGCAGAAATGGTGGCTGGAGCTCCTGCTCAACCCAGTCTTGCTCTCACTATGCAGGAAGAACAGGCGCTTTACGATGCGGGGTGGCCGCTTCCCATCATCGCGGATATGAGGGAGTTCTGCGAGTTCCTCGAGTGGGCTCGGGGTGAACATGGTGCTGGTGCTGTGGCCTGGGCCATGGACTCCTGGGGCGACAGTCTCGTCGTCGGAAATGCCACCATCGAACTTGCTCAGGAGACACTTTGGGGGCGCTTGCGCGACACTGAAGTCGTACGCCCAACGGATGCTGGCGTCCGGGGACGTTTGGTGGTGGGCTTTGCAGGATTCCAGCGACAGATGGGTGACTTCCACCTATCACTCGTACAAGAAGGACTCCGAGGTCAGTGGATGCCGCATGGTCCTGAAGATGACGATGGACGCCAACTTCCAGAACCTCCTTTCGTACGAGGCGACCATGGGGCGTGGGCTATGACAAGGGCAAGAACGTTGGCGCGTGAAATGATCCAAAGAGCACAGGCTCGTGGAGCTGCTACGCGCCGCACAAATGCTGGGGTGAACATCCAGGTCCAAGTTCCTGCTGCTCCGAGTCACGAGTCTGGAGATGGAGATGCTGGTTCAGGTGGAGACGATCCTGCTGGTGGGGACGATGGTGGCGATGAAGGTGACAGCTCTGCAGGGGATGTAAGCGCCATGATGCAGTTGACAGTGGAGGAAGAACAGCGGCTACATGAACGTGGTGTTGCAGATGAAGTGCGTCGTCAATTCCGAATGTTGATGATTGCTCTTGGTCATATACAGGAGCGGGGAGAAGGACCCGAGTACCGCTGGGGCGTTCGCATGTTGGTGGAGTCGTGGGATGAGGCACTACAGGCAATGCAAGTCGTGCGCGACCTGCTCTATCGTCGATCCACCAACCTTGGGGCGTTGCCGTACTATCCTGCGACACGTGAGCCGGTGTATGGTCCTCTACGAACACGTGTGGTGGCGTACATGGCGGAATATAGACACCTTCTACTACGTGGCCTTGAGGACGAGGTTGCTCGGGAACTTGTCAGACGTACACGCAGCACAGGTTCCTCTGGGTCGCAGGCTCCGCACCGAGATGTGCACCATACAAGGGAAGTGAATGAGGATGGCTTGGTTGGTGGTGAAGTACGACGCTTGGGAAGAAATACACGTTCTGGACGCAATGTACATCCTCGTGGCAGTCGTTCCCGCTCTCGTTCCACTCGGGCGAGACATGGTGTTGGGGATGATGCAGCTGGTCGAGGACCTGTTGGTCGTGACCTTCGCCCTGCTCTACGAGATCCCCCTGGTCTTCTTCCTCCCGGTGTTGTCGAGGGTGGTGGAGTTCGGGAGGCTGCTGTGAGTGTGAGTGCTGGACAAGATCTGCTTGTGGGGAGTGGCGAAAACCATCGACCTGGGGATGTTCGTGGTGGATCTGTCGTCGAGGAAGCTACTGAACATCTATCTGCTGAACTCCCTCCTGTCTCTGCAGTACCTGTACCTTCTGCACAAGTTCAACCTCTGCCAGCTGCACTTCATACAGGTTCTGCTGTACCTGTACCTCCTGCCCAAGTTCGACCTGGAGAAGATGGCAGTCGTGAAAGCCCTTTGGAGACGGATGTGACTGATCCTACTGAGTTGGGTCGTTCCTCTGAGACTCCTGTTGGTGCTGCTGCTGTGGATGATCCTGGACATCTATCAGCTGAACTTCATCCTCACTCTGCAGTACCTGTACTTTCTGCACAAGTTCAACCTCTACCTGCTGCATTCCATCAAGGTTTTGGAGTACCAGTAGCACCTGCTCGAGCTGGGCTTGGAGTACACCATGACAGTCAGGATGGGCTTGCTGTGCATTCTCCCCATGAAGAAGTGCGGGCTGGTCCTTTGGGGATGGTTACCGATGTACCTCCTGAGTTGGGTCGTCCTTCTGAACAACCTGTACCTCCTGCACAAGTTCGAGAGGATGTTCAAAGTGGTCAGGTTCCCCAGGGTGATAGTGAGGGTGCAATGTCTGCAGTGCCAGCACTTGCTGATGAACTGCAACCTTTGTCTGGGGATGTAGTTGTCAGTAGTGGTGAGTCGTCTGATGACTCCAGTCCGGGCCCACAAACTCTGTCATAAGTGATGGGGTGATTCGAGCACTTGTTGAGCGGCTAATGTTTTGCTCTACGTCGTAAGATGTGGGATATTTGTGCAAGCCTCGTCCCGAGGCCGACCCTTGGACGCAAGGAAAAGGGCACTGCATTTAAAAAAAAAAACCCTAAACCCTAAACCCTAAACCCTAAACCCTAAACCCCTAAAACCCCGTCAACCCCAAACCCGCAAACCCCTCAGCCCGAAGCCTTCAAGCCCTAAGCCCTAAACCCCAAAGCCCTGAACCCGAAGCCATGCCCTAAAGCCTAAACCCCAAAGCCCTAAGCCCTTAACGCCCTAAGCCCTAAACCCGCAGCCATGGCCAAGAATGCCGGCCAACCGGATCGAAGTCTCAAGAAGGCAGGAACTGGCACTCTGAATGCCGATGCGGCGGCTTGGATTGCGAAGTGTCTCCTGTTTCGGGAGTTGGGCTTTGGGGTTTCCGGTTTGAGTTTGGCCTTTGGGGTTTCCGTTTTGAGCTTGGGCTTGGGGGTTTCCGAATTGAGTTGGGCTTGCCTATACTATCTTGGGGGTTCCTTATTAGAATGGGACCCAGTATAATAGGCCCCGAAAACCCTCTTCTAATTATTAAGGCCCCTATAGTAGGGTTTTCGGGTGCAAGGTTTTGGAGCCTCGGGTCTGTAGGGTTCAGCCTTGAAGGCGACATTGAAGGGAGTCGATACGCAGTTACATGGGAGTTTCCGAACATTGGGGGTACCTCATTTTGGGGTCCTTATATGATCCCAGCTTTTAGGGTGCTCTATTAAGGTCCCCTATTTTCGGAAACTCCCACATGAAGGAACAGGGCCATAGCAAGTGACAAACTCATTCGAGCACAGGTTTTAGGGTTTGGGATTGGGGTTTGGGATTTAGGGTTCTGGGTTTAGGTAAAAGGTCTTCGGAACCGCGCAGCAGTCTATGAGGGTCAAATGCGGTCTTTGTTTGGTTCAGGGTCAGGGTCAAGTTGTGTAGAATTGGAAGCACATTTGGCCTATGACAGGGCCTATGATAGTCTCGTGCGGCCCCCACCTGATCCTCCGCCTTTGCTTACGTCGGGCGTGCTATCCCAGTAAAAGGCAGAAGAGTTCCAGAGAGACCGGGTGATCACGTGCGAGATGTTGTAGCTGCAAAGGATCCCATGCCCAGCCTCAACATGCACACATCCCTAAACCCTAAACCCGAATCCCTAAACCCTAAACCCTAAACCCGAATCCCTAAACCCTTAACCCCCAAAACCCTTAACCCCAAAAAAACCCGAAACCTTAAACCCGAGCCGCCTGAGCCCTAGGACCTAGGCCCTGACGCCGCCACCATGGGGCTTTGATTTAGGGTTTAGGGTTTAGGGTTTAGGGTTGAGGGTTGATGCCCGGACAAGCCTGAGAATCATTCCAGCACCAATATTGTACCCGGAATCCTAGAAGCATGTATCCCAAACCCTAAACTCCCCAATCATTCAGTTCAACCCCAAGCCTATATGCAATCGAGCTAAAGTACCGAACACTGCTGCTCTCCGGTCTGAGCAATGTCGATTTTGTCGGTACGTTCCGGCGATGTGACGTAGGAGATATGTCAGGAATCAGCTTAAAGGTCTTTAGGGTTTACACGGGTTGAGCTTTGGGTTTTGGGTTCAAGAGTTATTAGGGTGTAGGGTTTGGCGCCACCGAGGGTCCACATATGCTACAGCAGTGGCTACAGTACCATGATGGAATCAGATGCCAGCAATCAGAAACATTGCTAGCAGTCATCCTTGGAAGTATGATTATGAAGGCCCCGATCTTAGCCCAAGGATTTTGTGATTTTTGTTGGAGGAAAGTGCCTCAATGTGTACAAGGATGCCCGGCAACGTCCAGCCAACCACTGGATGAAAGGCTGACCTGGATCGAAACCGCAGCGTCGCAGACTCTTGCACTTTGCCGCCTGAAGTCCCAACACCAGCGCTCAGATGGATCGGGGCAATGTAGAATCTTGATTAGGAGAATAGTCTTTGCCGTTATAAGAATCAGAAAATGTGAGAGACTTGAAAGAAGGGGTGCTTCTTGATCAGGGGTCTACATCAGGCTCGTCAGGTATTTCTGTCGAAGTCGAAGATCCGTATTGTCGCAGCCATGTCCTGACTCCGCCAATGGCAGATGGCTGCCGCGTGCAAGATTTCGGATTGGCATTGCGAGCTAGCAAACTCTACATTCGCACGTGCTTGGTTTTTCCGAGGTGACCGAAGCATCGCTGTTTCGACACTTGAACCGTTGCTTTCATACTTTGAAGGGCGTGAATGAAGCCGAACTGTTGTATTCGACACATGTGCATGAACTTCGTGCAGGACTGGAACGTGTGAATGTTTGTAACGGTCATCCGTGGCCACTGAGCCCTGTCGACCTGCCTATTTGCGTATTCTTATACACAGTCATAGATTTACATATCCATCCATACACGTTTGCATCCTTTCATCCTTCCACCTACCATCCCGTCCGTCCATCTGTCCATCCGTCCACCCATGCACTAAGTCTTCCATCCGTCCGTCCGTTCATAAGAAACAACCAGATGATAAACAGATGACACACCCTCACAGCGACAGACAGACAAACCAGAATTCGACAGGCAGACAGGTATAGAGACGTACATGCGATATTAGATGCTTGCCTTTGGGGTTTGACATGTCGATGCCAATTCCGCATTGTGTAACTAATTGCATGAATGCCTCTATGTAAACAATTTGTCATGTCAGTTTCAACAATCCACGGTGGTTGGCTTTTGGCACCGAGGGACATCACCGGCAGGTGTCCGCAGGCCGGGTTTGGGAACGACGGGTCAGACGCGAAAGTTTCATCTGAAGCCGGCAAAACCAAGACTGAGGATTTCAGGATACCGGACCAGACCATCGTTTTATTGATGTTCTAATAGAAGGTGTCTCGCTGCATTCCACAAAGGTATCCAGGATTTGGCCGGGCAGGATTGAGGTTTTGCTGGTTTCATCGTCCCAAAGCCCGATTGCTGCATTTTTTCGCAAAGGTGTCATCAAGTTAAGTAATGTCCACATGCGATCGTTTAGTTATGTTTTCAAACCCCGTCCGCCACATTGAAATTGAAAACCTTTCTGCATTCTACACGGACTAAAAAATCTACCAAGCCTGCAGAACTCACGGGGGGCTTCGGGCATATGTTAAAACTGGGATTCGCTCCGTGTTTGCAACTGCAGTTCTTGGGCTTTCATGTCAGGGCTTCAAGATTAAAGCTTGATGTTGGCAGGCCCGAATGGCAGGGTTTCAACTGTACAGCAGACCGCTCGAGCGCGAGCAAAGAAACACCGAGATCGTTGCAAACAACCCGAAGGTTTCAAGAAGCCATGACGTCCCAAGCATGAATGTTTACGGGGTACAAGCAAACGCAAATGTGCATGTCACATGTAAGCCTAAGTAAGCCACAAAAAGCCCCAGATGTTATCAGCCAAATTCGGGACCCTGTTGAGAACTTCACAAAAATCACAGCCCTCATCGCCACTACTCCCAAATTTCAATCCTAAAAAGCCTTTGATCCAAAACCCTTAAGCCCAAAGCCCCAAACCCACGCACCCCAAGCTTTCGAAACCCTATACAGCAGGGCCCTAACCATTGAAGCTGAGACCTAGGTAATGTAAGAACCTGATTAAGAAACCTTGGGCCTTTATTGGGGTTCCTTATATGAATCCGAATATTTGGGAGGTTATAGGCCCAGGGTCTCTGAATGAGGTTCCGACATTAAAGCCTCAACTCGAACCCTGAACCTGCAGGTTCCAGCATCTTGGGCGAAGAAGAGGACCCCTGTGACATGCTTTAGGGCTTAGGGCTTAGGATTCACAAGGTTTGGGGTGCGACTTCATAAGTGCTTGAGATGTTATCAGGGCGTTCCAGAACGACTTTTAGGAGTTTTTATGGGCTCGTGACGTTGTAGCATGACTGATCATTTCGCTCGTTCTGAACTATAGTCATGTTCTGTCAGTGATGTTGCTATTATTTCGTTCTAGCTATATTAGATGATCCCTAAGCCCTAGACCCGAAGCCCTAAGCCATGTGAGTCTGAGAAGGACGCGGGAGAGGCCTGCGCTCTGGTGGGCCACGACGACGGCCTCATTCAGCAGCCTGGCACAGCACTTTGCGCGCATCTTGTTGAGTCGTAATTGACAGTGAGTTTTAATGGGTTTCAAAGTTCAGGCTTGAGGGGATTAGAGTTTGGAGCTGTGAGCTTCAACCATAACCTGAGGATTCCTACTGTCCCAACCACCTGATTTCGAAGGCCCGAGACCCTTCAAATCGCGAGCCCTTCAAAAGCACGCACAACCAAAGCCAAGCCAACACATCTAAAATCGGCCTAGACATTTACAATGGTTGTAGTATGTACAAGAGTCGCGGTATCTATAACAATCAGGATCCCTCAGAAATATTCCTGGTAGTTCTTCATCTGTAGTACGCTGCTCAGCGTTCGTCAACTGTAACCAAGCCCCAAGCAAACCAAGAGCCACCCTGTATTACAGCCCCAATAAACCCTCCTCCATACCTCCCAGTGATGATGGTTTTTTGGCGCTTCATTCCACACCTGCGTCCGTTGACCCCAACCCTATGGTACCCTATGCCCTGAAACCCCAAGCCTACACCTCAACTCTTGACTTCAAAATCCCAAGCCCCAAAATCTTCAAAACACCCAAATGAGGGCGAGGATTGACTACTTAGGGTTCTAAGCCTCCCCAACAGGGGGCTTCGAAGTGCAAGCGACGAAACAGGTCTTTGAAAACTCTAAACCCTAAACTGTAAATCCTAAACCCCGAACCCTAAACCTTAAATCCTAAACCCAAAACCCAAAACCACCAGGCTGCTAGACATTGCCACTGGTGTCGAGAAGCTGAAGCTGGATGGCCACAAGGAGCAAAGCCAAGTGAATCTTTGGAGACTAAGTCTTAGTGTTTTAGGGTCTGGTATCTATAAGGCTTACTATAAAGGCTTTAGAGTCTGGGATTTAGG